ATTGTTTGAACTTTTTTAATGCAGAATCAGGCTGTTTATCAGAGAATGAGTGCTCTGTGAATATAACTTGTGTTCAGCTCAGTTTAAATCTTAAATGATTATATCAACTTTAAAAACAACTATTTAATATAGTTTTCTTCACATAAATAAATTACATGCAGAGCTATAGGCCTACAGTGTATTCAAGTTTTCTTACAGCCATTAAAATCAACAAACCTCTGGTGGGGGTCCCGCCCCCCAGGTTGGGACCCGCTGCCGTAGAATGATCTCTTTTTTTTATGTATTCATAGGAAACAGGCCTTTTTCTACAAAGGCTGCCATCTTGAACTGCAATGTTTCTACAGTTGCCCAGAACAGACAAACCAAACACTGGCCTTAGATAGGGCCCTTTGCATTTTTTGCGGCCACCACAGATTCTCCTAAAGGCTACAAAATCAGCAACTCTACTGCTAGATGCCACTAAAAACTGATTCTTTAGATAACATTTAAAAAATTTAAATGGGAAAACAGAACGAGTAAAATCACCTTCCACTGCCACTCCCCACCTCTACTGGTGAGAAAAACAACTGTCAGAGCTTTGGAGACGGGTTTAAGAATGGTGATCATCTTCCTGTGCTGTGTGGAATAGTTGTACAGGTTGTTAATTTTCAAAATAGTACTGATTTGTGACACTCAGTCACCCTTAATGTAATGTAATGTAGTCAGGGGTGCCTGGATAGCTCAGCTGGTAGAGCTGGCGACCCATGTACCGAGGCTGAGTCCTTGCTGCAGCGGCCCAGGGTTTGAATCCGACCTGCTTCCCTTTGCTGCGTGTCATCCCCTCTCTCTGCCCCCTTCCCTCTCTCTCTCCAGCTGTCACTAACAATAAAAAAGGCAATAAAAGCCCCCCCCCCCACAAAAAAAATGGAATGTAGTCCGAATGTAATACTGACATTAACCTTAAGTTATCAAAAACTTTGATGATGATTATAGGAGCAGACTGAGCAGAAGGAATATTTAGGGCTTTCTTGGTGTGGTTTAAAGGCATAGAATTAAGGGACTGTGTTATTTTAGTGAATGTAAAGAAGATTAGTTAATGACTCTTGAGGGAATTGTCATTGTCATTTAACTAAAAACCTTCAGTTCAAAGACTATAGAATTCAGTCATTGTTCACTTCCTGTCAATCTCTAGCTCTGTGTTAGCCTAAGTCCTGGATTAAAGATCTATCCATCCAAGATATAACACTCAGACTGCCCTAAACAATACAAACACAAAACTTTATCACTGCTGCTGCAGCTTCCCGAGCCTAGTGACGTTCCAGCTCTCAGCCCGAAACCTTTTTGTTTCTTCCAAGCGATTAACGGCAGCTGAAAGCGCCCAGAGAAGACTGGTTTTCTTTTCATTATTGAGCCATAATTGCTGTGTAATTACTCCTCCATTGTCCTGTCTTCAACAGAGAGGGCTCTCCTGCTAATAGCATAAAAACTTAAAAGGTGACAAGCTGCTGCTGCCATGCATCAGTATTCATGAGGACGGAGACAGCAGTGAGCATGTTTATTTCAGCACTTTGTTTCTGTCACAAAACTGAGTCTTAATTCTAAAATGTAACGGTTTGCCTTGTGGGGTCCTGTTTGTCCCCACACTGCAGGGGAGTCCCCGTAATGTCAGTGTGTGAACAGGTTTATGGTCCCCACATTGGAGATGTACAGACCTCTTTTTGGTCCGACTCATGACTGTTGCTGCATCTTTCCCCTTCAGAACAGTTAACATACAGGATTTCCCTTTCTTGGATGATGCTACTGAAAGATTGTAGCCTGATAGGACAGGAGGTCTGACTGGTGTCTGAATTTAACCAGTGAATTGATACAAGGGTGTATTTGAACTGACCTGAATTTTTAGATCTGAATTTGAATTATTGTATTTGAGATAAATATTGGATGCATTTCAACATTAAGTATTAGTGGATACATTTCACAATTAGGTATTCGGTAAAAATTATTCATATACGCCTTTAACTGTTTTCTTACATTTAGGATGAACTGTAGTATGGAATTGGCACACAGCTTATTTTCCACCTGTTGCATGCGGCAAGTTTCCCACTTTAACAAATCACCTGATAGCTGCCAGTTTATTAAAAACTAATGCTATCTAATACAACAGTCCTGCAATACATTCTACCTATATGAAGGTTTATAATGCTCAGTTTTTGTTAAAAACTGTTTTAGAGAGGTGTTGATTCAGTTGTAATCATTTTGGAGGCTGCAGTTTGTGGTGTTTTTGATTTGTGTTGCATTATTACTCTGATATAAATAGGGTGGGACAAAATAATATAAACACTATGCCAAAAGTTGAGGAGGGAGTAAAAGAATATGCAGAATAAGAGGGTCCAAGATGTGCATGGACCCCCTATAAACTGCATCTCCCATTAGGGTGTCAAACACAGGGAGCAGTTAAACAGAGGACGAGTGATATGGACTGATCTGAACGAAGCCCACTACTTACTGCTTCAGCTAGTTTTGAGCTGGTTGCAGCGGTGTCTGTTGCATTAATGTTGTGTGTGCAAAGGAAATGTGTTTATTTATGAGCTGGACACTGTTAATTACCCGCATGCATGGATAATTATCTCCAACTTCAAACACATTTTAACCCCCAGAGACCCAGACAGTCTGTGTGTAGCTGAGCTGTATGATGAGCTCAGGACGCCCAAAATATCTGCTGCTAATTAGAATAAAATTATGAGTCATCAGCTGAATTTTCACGGATATTGACAAGATACATGACCGTGAAAACTGGACCTGCAGGGATACTGAACACCAACATCAACCACAGATTTTAACTCAATCAATAGGGTTGTGCAAAAGAGACAACAGAGTGTGACTTGTAACCAGTGGTGTAGTGCAGGGTATATGCGGGTATATGGCGTATACCCACTTATTTTTAAGTTGGCGTTTTCCTGGGATGGCGAAGGCATGACATAGTATATGTATAATTATGTAGTTGTCTCACTCGTCTGTTGGCCAGTATTGATTTTTCTGTGGATGAAGTTCATTTTATAATGATCCAAACTCCCTGAAGTACCCCCTGAGTATTATTACATGTCACTGTTTATAATACAGGGCCTTTATCCTTTGCTGGATGGGACGCTTTAAAAGAAAATTTAGGGCAAAAATTAAGAGTATTCCTACTTCTCCAGGCACCGCTACACCACTGCTTCTAATATGCCACCACCATCAGCCATCCATCCTTTTTCTGAGGCTTATCCAGTTTTTGCGGTTGCAGCCCACTGTGTCATTCAGTCAAGGTTTGTGGGTGGATCCAGCACCCTGCTCTCAAAATTTGAATCCTCAGTTAGGTGGTTTCCATCCAAATTTAGCACAATTTTTAATCGACATTCCAGAAAGTAAATTAAACTAAATGCAAATTAATGTTTCCACCCTCTAGTGTTGTGATATGAATATTAGGAGTTTGTTAATTAAGATAAACAGTGGGTAGCCCTAATACTCAGTCAGGGGCCATGTATTAATAAGAAAAACTAGGAAACAAGTAGAAGAAAACTACGGCAAGAAGAGAGAGATCACATGTGGCTTTTCCTGCTTTAATCTTCTAACAGTGGCCTTCCAGTGTGCTTGCTGTTGATTTATCTCTAAAGGGGGGCGTTCTCAACCGGAGTTTGTCTGGGGGGGGGGGCTCACAGTGTCAGACTTTGAAAACCCAAGATTTAGATAATTTGTATTCACTTTTAAAGGCTCTTTCTGTTGTTTCTGATCAGTGTCAGAAAATAAATAATCCACTTCTATTCAGTGTGGTGAAACAATAAAAGAACTATGATGGGGGTGAATACTTCGGGCAGTAGTTTATATTTTGAATCATTCTGAGGTCTTTACTTTAAGATGGTGTATTAACAGATAGACGGTTCAGTAGATCTTACACAATGTTGGTGTGAATTTGGATCTGACCATGTAATCCCAAATTAAATGTCTTTGGTTCAAATCTGGTTTGGAATCTTTGTTGAATGTCAATCCCACCTCTTTCCTCGTGTCCTGTCATTACCTTACTGTTTGCTGTCAAATAAAAAGATACCTTAAAAAGCGCGATATACAGTACCATGTTACAACAATCTTGATTTTTAGTTTTTAATGTCCTACTGAGCTGTAACTGTTGTGTGACTGCAGTGTTTTTTATTTTGTACCATCAGCTGTTTTAGACAGAGCAACAGCTCCACCTTGTGGTCAGTTAATGATATACAGGAAAGCTGATAAATGTATACATTTGCCCTGGCTGCTTTATGTTGATTTTTAAGTATTAACATCTTAGGGCCATTTTAAAAGAAAGTGTTTTCTTAAAATCACACTATTTATTTGTTTTATTGTATTATTTTTCAGGCTTATTTTCACCTGGAAAAAACTTTTAAGTCTGTCTCTTCTGTGAGGTTTGACACCTGTACAGCTATAGTCAGTACTGCTTTATTTTTAGTTTACAAGAGCATAATGTGTTATTTAGTATGTCTGTGCATATGACATGTCGACAAGCAGCATGTTGCACGATGATCATAGAAATATGTAAAACTGAAAAATAAAAACAAAATAATTAACTAAAACTATTCAATAATAAAAAATAAAACCAAAAAAAGAAAGAAACCAAGACGATTTTAAAAGGCAGAATAAAACAAAACCAGGATTATAAAAATAAACAAATAAAATATGAAAAAAATAATTCATAAAGTCAACATAAACTCAAAATAATTAAAACTTTAAACAAAACAAAAACAGAAATAGGTAATACCAAGAAAAAATAGTAAAATAAAAATAATACGAATGTGTAATAAAAACAATGTTTAAATGTCAATTAAATGTTGAGTGTGTAAAATTTAGGAGGATCTACTGGCAGAAGTGGAATATAATATTCATAGGTTGAGTATAATCAATACTCAACCTATATATAATATCTGAATAAAGGAATCTTTTTTTTTTTTTACCCTATGAGCTGTTTTGTAGTAATAATAAAAACAGGACACATTCAATCAGTGATTCAATAACATATTTTAATTTTTCAGTGTTTTTAGTATAAAAATCCCACCGGCCGGTCGGCTGGTTTCCGCTCCCGTTGGCTATAACTGTGGTTTTTCCCAGAGAATCAGCTAAAGTACCAAATCTATTTACACACAACATCCACATCCAGAGGGGCCAAACAAAACAGGAAGTCTACCCATTGCTACCCTGCCAAAAATAACACATCAAACACTATCACCTCACCTCTCAGATTTAATGCTATTAATCCAAAAAATAAAAAAACTCACAAAACAACAGAAGAGGAAGGGCCTCTACATATGGCTCCTCGTGTGCCCGTAGTATTTTCTTACAATACTCTCTCTATAAAGTAATGCATATACATTTTCTCCTTTACAATAAATTAGTACAGGCACATTTTCTTCTCTCCTACAGCTGACTGTAGTTCAGTTCAGGTGGAAAAGATGATTCTGTGACATTTTACAGAAGACTTGAACTCATCACAGCACACAAACAAAAAAAAGGCTGAAAACCTGGAAAATGCAACTTAACTGTAAAAAAAAAAGAAAAGAAAAGAAAAAAAAACACATTAGTGGGAACTTGTGGGCAGCAGATTTTTTGGTTTCGGTGTGAATGATGCACTTTAGGCATTTTAAACTTTTGAGAGCATCTATATAGATTTTATATAAATATGTACAAACAAAAAAGTAGTCCAGTAAAAACATTCAGGTAAAAAAAAAAATAAAAAAAAAAAGATGCAAACACACAAACAAAAACAAAAAAATTAATGCCAGAGACGAGAGAACTTGAAGCTTGAGAACTCAATAACTTACAAAAACTGTAAAAAAAGGAGCTGAAATAAAAATGTTCATTACAGTATGCATGTTTATTTTTTCTCTTTGTAGAGATAGCACCAGCAGAAAGACCGACACCATCAGTGCCGGCGACGACGTGGATCATCACCTCCAACGGTATAAATATCTGAACACCATGTACCAAAACCAACTGAGGGAGTGAATAAATTAGTGTCAGGCCTTGTACAGGATATTTACAGGAGCTGCTGCAGTCACACGCACACCGATGGACATTTTTTCGTGTTAGTGAGACTGTTGCAGCAGTCTTGCAGCACATTTAAGGAGGTCAGAGGTCAAACTCTGACACATTCAACAGGTTTAGACCCATGATTTTTCGGTCCTCACAGCCAAAGTTAGATTTTTTTTTCTTTCAACTTTTTGCACCCGCTAACCGAGTCGATTTTGTTGCATAGCTCTTTGACAAAACAAGATGGCCGTCACAAGCTACAGTATTTCGGACAGGGGGGACAGATGTGTAGGGAGATGATACGATTCCAGTTTGAGGAAATGGTAAACATAAGTGTGTGTGTGTGTGTGTGTGTGTGTTTGTTGTGCGTATGAGGCAGAAACTGAGCGTCTCTGCTGTGACGGTGTTTAAAACAAAAAGCTGAAAAGACAAAAAGGGGAGAGATGAATGATGGGAGGATTTCAAAAGGTGGTGGAGGTTGGAGTAGGGGTTTTGGAGGGGGGTGGGGTTCAGTCCGTGACGGTGAGGCCGGTGCTCGGTTCCAGCTCGCCACTGACACGGTTCAGGTGGTTCATGGCTCGGTCGAATGCGAGCCGCACAGCTTTTCGGATGCAGGAGGAGCGAGCCTCCGTCAGCTTGATTTTGTCGAGCATCTGGTTGATCCCAAAGGGAGCCATCTTGGATCTAGGAAGCCATTGCCTGCGGAGAGAGAAGACAGAAGTCAGCGTGTGACTGGATGGACCAAACGTTTGTTTTCTGCTGACTTTCTCACATCCTCATCACCATCACCACCATCACCACCATCACCAACATCACCAACATCACCACCATCACCAACACCACCAACATCACCAACATCACCAACATCACCTTTATAATAGAAAGAGAGCTTTGGACGTGTCAATACAACACTTAAGTGCCCAGTATACTCGACGCACTCGAGCTGTCGCGCGACAACGTGACATCAAAATGACGTAGATCTCGCTGGGGCGCCATGATTTTGGCCCGGTCGCGCACCACTTTTCTTTTTTTTCAGCTGCGCTCGACAAACCGGAAACAGGAAGATGGACGATCTGTACGATCCTTCAATAAAGGAGAACAGAGACGCCGGAATTCATGGCGAGAAATCGCCATGAATGTTGGAATAGAGGAGGACATATGCTGGAAACTTTGGAAGAACCTCCGCGACCGATTTGGAAAGAAAAAAAAACCCCCAAAACTTTTTCTTCTTCTAGTGCGTAGAAATAGCAACATCGGTAGCCTTTCCTCACTAGCGACGCCTCTGTTCTGGAGAAGACTGCAACTAGTGCCGCGACCACCACGCGCAAGTATACATAGTCACGGTGCTCCCGTGACGTCACGTTGTCGCGTGACAGTTGGTCTGCGTCGAGTATACCGGACGCTTAAGTCAGAAGTTTAAATAAACTTTAAATAAATGTTTTGACAAATTCCAATGGGGGAATCCCTAGGAGGTATCACGCCTACCAGGGAAAGTTTATTCTACTGCAGTTGAACAATGCAGATTTGGTCCTGGCCATGGACGAGTTCTTTACTCTTGCAGGGATGCTTTGGTGGTCATGGGAGTTTTGACCATCCAAGATACATATGGATCCATAACTCACTAGAAGAATTACAAATCAATCTGGCCTGGGAACGCATTAGGATCCTCCAGGAGGAGCTGGAAGACATTGCTGGGGAGATGGACGTCTATAATGCCCCACTTGACCAGCTGCCACCACGACCCGACCCCAAATAAGCGGATGATAATGGATCGATGGGATGTTCAATTCCACAGCCATCACTGTACTGAGACTTATTAACGTCCGATATCACACTCACAACACTTTTTTTGCACAACTATCTGTCACTGTTGTTTTTAACTGAGCTGATTGCATCTTACAATTTAACTGGTTTCAATACTGGTACAACAAGTGCTGGGAAGTTGTACTGCAATATGGAAAGAATGTTTAAACTGTAAACTCAACTTAAATAGAGGAATGGACACAGTGTCAATGAGTTCTTACTGTGTGTGAGACCGTGTATCTATATTTAATGTTGGTGGTATCCAACAGTCAACAGTCTCCTGTCGGTTGTAAATGCTCTGTGGTTTATGAAGTTCCCCATTCTGCATCACATTGAGAACCACGGCGGAAATACACACTAAACTGATCTTCCATTAACAAGAGCTTCTGAAAAACGGATATGACACATGTAAAAGCTGTAGAAACTCCCCAGTCAGTCACTATCAGTTGACACAAGTGGTGGGTGAATAAAATGTGCTTTGTGATCAACTGCATGACCTTATTTGCTTAGATGGCTTCAAAGACTCAATCGGTGCATGTGTGTGGATTCTGTGTTATTTTCTCCAATCATTGTTTTCTTATGTATTTGGTGATGAAGATGGTTGTTTTGACTGATAAACCAATTGAACTAATATTACATGATGATGTGCTGGTCTTTGGTCAGTTTGTAGACTTTATACATAGATTCATAGATCATACATGTGCTGTTGGCACCCCTGAAAAATGGCTTCCAAACCTGCCGAGCATCATAAGACCAAGCTTTACACAGCTGTAAGAACTCAGTCAGGCAATTTGTTTGGGTGTTTTCTTGGACTCAGATCTAAAAATTGCATAAACTCAATCACAGCCTTTCATCTTCTTAAAAATAAAGCTTTCGCAAGAGGACTCATGTCAAAGCAGGATCTTGAAAAGCTGATCGACACAATCAGCTCAAGCTGTATTTTTGTCAGGTCTATCAAACGAAGTGTTTAAAATGCAGCTTCCAGAGTTTTATGTAGACAAAATATTATTACACTTACAACCCTGTTTTACTTTAGGCTGATTTTTTTATCCCCACTTTTTCACTCCTCTTTTTTTAGAGTGAGTTGGTGAGTTCCTCACCAGCTGCGCTTGCTGTCGAAGAAGTGGACGAGGAAGAGTTTCTCTGCGGACCTGAACTGCATCCGCTCTCCGATTCTGAGAACGTCCTGCGGCGGCTGGGGAAGCTCCACCCCGTTGCGCTGACACGCTGTCCTCCGCGCTCTGGGGTCCATGATCTGTGAAGCCCAAAAAACACAGGGATGGAGACTGAGTGAAGTGGCCTCCTGACGATAACAGTGTGGAGAATATCCTGTTGGCAGTGGCCGCACAGAAGAAGCCCGCACTCAGAGACACAAGCATGCAAGCTGAGTCGAGCCAAAAACGCTCTGAGCGAAGCGGCCGACTCCACACACACCAAGCAGTCCATGATCGGCCAGCTGGAAGCTCCCGCATGACTGTGAGCACAAATCACGAGCTACAGCACGGACAATGGCAGAGGGGCAGATGGGTAATGAGACACAGAGGGGACTAACACTCACTCACCAGGGCGGGGTAGGAGGGATATCCACTACATTTAGCCCAAACTAGTTTAAGAGGCTCCAGAACAAATGGAGAAGCAGCGGTGGGCTTCCACACCTCTACAGGAACAACAACAAGCAAGTTATGAAGTATTCAGTGCAACAGACAGAGCACAACCAGTCTGAACACGCAGCATACAGAAGGGGAGCTGAACACACACACATGTTTTTTAAAGATTACCTTCAAAAAACAGTGATTGGACATTTCTGTTGATTGTATGAGCCCACATTTCACTTAACCCACAGAGAAAATAACTGGCTTCACTTCACTTCCCCCTCGTCCATCAATGGTTTCCTGTTTCTGGACTCTTTGTTCATTTATTTACCACTTCCTTCATGGCTTAAACCTGCAGCTTTGAGTCTCTGCTGACTTCATATAGGAGCCTGGACCTCAGCTTGAGAATCAGTGACGTAGACTCCGTTAGAGTAACATTGTGTGCAGAGCTGCAGGTTTGGTAAAATCCCATTTCAAGATTTTCTTTTTGAAGACTTTTACATCAGAACACTCAAAATAATAATCCACTTCACTGCTATTTAGGTGACACTGGTGTAACAGTAGAAAAAGTGAAGGGAGAAAGAACTAAAAACTGTATGGTAGCACATAAACAGTATTAGTATATTACAAGGAAGGACTTTTAAAGGACCAGTGAGTAAGATTTAGTGGCATCTAGTGGTAAGGTTGCAGAATGCAGTCAACTGATAACCCCTCACCCCACGTCCCCCTTTCTGACGTGGTGGGTTCAGTACTTTAGCTTAGGAGTTAGCAATGGCTCCTCTCTCTTTCTGTTGCTTGGTGTGTCAAAATTGTTGCTACAACAACTATTCCTCTGGCTCTTTTAGTGATTATGGTACATGTAATAAATGTAGTTTATATTCCATGCTCGATGCAAGGGCCCGTAGCCTGGAAGCTGCAAAACTCCTGTAGTTACCCAGCTCTTGTTGTGGTTTTGTATTATTGAATTATTTCCAAATGGGGCTTTTCCATATCTGCCAGTAGATCCTCCATGTTACACACTGGACCTTTAATAAGTTTAGTAAATGTCCTTAGCAGACAGAGAGAAGACCAATCAAAGCGAGCCATGCTGTTTCATTCATTCGTCAGATGACGTTTGTTGCAAACTTACCTGAAGAGATCTTGGCAGCTTTGGTGAACTCTCCGTTCTCTATACAGGTCATCAGAGTGCTTTTGTCATCCACGGTGCTCCGTCGAGCCGCCGGTGGTCGCCCTTTACCACTTTTAGACACAATGACGGTGCTGAAAGAAACAAGGGAAAAGCTAGATAAAGAAAATGTTTAGATTTAGACACTTTGCAAACATTAGAAGGTTAAAACAGGAAAAAAATAAAACTACACAGAGAGCAAAAAACACATTTCAGGATTAGGTGCTTACGACAAGTGAGATTTTAGCAACTTTTTTAAGCTATCAGCTGACTCTGTGTTTTATAATTAATTAGGGGAAGGTTGTTCCAGAGGGTAGGAGCCACAGCTGCAAAGGCCCTGTCACCTTTGGTTTAAAGCCAAGATTTTGGGACAGCCAAAAGGCCTTGTTCAGTAGACCTCAGGGATCTAACCGAGGTCAGACGACACAATAATTCAGAAATATAAAGTAGTGCCAGCCCATAATGTGCTTTATAGGTCATATGTTAAGTTGGTACATAGAGAGTAAAAAAACCACTTTGTATGCCACACTTATCCAAATAAGATCCAACAAAAACTGTGTTCTCAGTCAACTTCTTGGCTCTGGACGTTTCCTCCAGAAACTCACCTCGTGCTGCAGAGGACGCTTCCGCTGGAGGAGATGCTTGACTCGGACGCACAGCGCCGGCGAGGCTCCAGCAGACGAGGTGACGGTGATATTTCCTCCTCCTCCACCACAAAACCGTTTGCTATTCCTGAAGAAACAAAAACACAGGGAACTTGTAAAAAGTGTAGTGTAGGGTTATGGGCTAAGCTACCGTTTGTATGCTTTGAGATTGTTATGCTTTCATTTTAGAATCAAAACATGACCACCGCACCTGTGCCAAGTCGTTTTATTGGCGACTCCTCATCCTCCTCCTCGCCTTCGGCACTGCTGCTGCGTGTTCTTTTCTTCGGCAGGAGGAGCGTCTCCAGTCGCGGGATGACCACTGACAGGAAGGTTTTGGCGCCCAGGGGCGGCTGCGGCGACACAGGAGATGCCTCTTGGGTCTTGGGTGGTTTCTGGGGGCTGGCACTCTTGGACTTGCGGAAGAGGGTGTTGGTCCGACGGTTGCAGGGACCAGAGGCTTCGCTGTGGAGGCTGCCGTTGAGGAGCAGAGGGTCTGGGATGTGCCCATTGGGGGTGTCCGGGGGCACTGAGGTAGACGTGTCGGTGTCACCATCAAGCTCCATGGGAGTATGGTCCATGTTGGGTTTAACGGTCTTCAGAGGGGGCGGCCCCGAGTCACTGGGCGAGGTGTCGAGCTGCGACAGTGAGGTTAACAGCTCTAATGTTGCCGGAGGTAAAGACTCATCACCATGTGGCGCACAGGGCTCTGCCAGGGGTTCAGGTAGTGGTTCCTCCATTGACTTGACGGGGGTCAGGTCAGGCGAGGGTGTTGGGAGGGTCTTTTTCAGGCTCATTTCGCTGCGGACCTCCATAATAGTCTTCTTCAGCAGTTTGAGCCTCTTGCTTCGGGACGGGCTGTGCTTCATGGCTGTGCTAAGGTCCAGCTTCTCCAGCAGCTCCTTCAGCTGATCCTCCAGAGGAGTCAGCTGACGGTAGGAGGGGCTCAGCAGACGGTCCACTGAGAGAGAGAGAGAGAGAGAGAGAGAGAGAGAGAGAGAGAGAGAGAGAGAGAGAGAGAGAATCACATGATATCACAGTATCATCACTCCAGCACTTCCATTTCAACAGTGTTCAGTGTCAACAAGGCAACTGATATTTCCATTTTTATTTTTAACTCTTCAAAAGACAGTTCCACTACTTTCACCTCTGACACTCTGACAGTTAAACTCTCCTCAGTGCTCACAATTTAACTTTCAGTTGCTTTTATGGCTTAGATATTGATGTCAGCTACTTTCATTTGTTACACTTTCAGCTTTTACTCAATTCAACGACTTGCAACTAACCTCTTGACTAATCAATTCACTGCTCAATAAAAATAATAAAATATGCCCAAATCAAGTTGGAAAAACTCTTTTCAAATGGTTTCTGACCAGCAATATGTGAAAAATGAAAAACAAATCTTGCAGTGGAGGAACTGGAACATGGTCTTGCTTGGAGATTTTACTGGAGAGCTTAAGCTGTTAGATTATCAGTCCTGTAACTGATAGACTTTCTGTTTCAACTTACCGTCCTCCCAGGAGAAGGGGGGCGGTGACTCCAATTTTGGGGCTTCGGGCAGATGCAACCCGCTAGGAAAGTCGAAGCCGATTCTGTCAGCCTCTCTGCGGGCCCTGCGGAGGATGACTCCTCCGTGGTCCTGCATCCGCTGAGCTGCCTTGTAGAAAAACGTGTCCTTGGCATTGTACGACATGCAGTTGGCAATGATGAGGTCAAAGTCATCCTCAAACGCCTCCAGGCTCCTGTATTCGTGAGTGTCGATGCGTTTCCTCATGGTGGAGAAGTCCATGGGGTTCTTGATGTGGTCCAGGTAGTCAGGAACCTGCAGGAGACAGATGAGGGACGTTGGAGGCTGTAGATTGTCTGAGAAGATGGTTTACAGGGATTGACTTCCAGGACATTAATACACATTAATAGAAATAAGCAGCTGCGATCAGAGCCCTGCTGCAGGAACACGATCGTGACTATGTCCACAGAGGAGGAAAATAAGGCAGAAAGTTTTGCTCATTTTCATTACATGAAACTGAACTGGAACAGCTTCTGTTCTACATCTTATCACTTCACCTTAATTCTCTCATGCCAAAATAAAATGCTTAACAACATAGCTCTAGGTCCAGACAACAGTTCTGTCAAATCAAATGTTAATTTGTTGTACATTGTTACATTGAAAGTCCTTTTCGAGGACTTCAAGCTGCATTCAATTATTTACCGGGGTATGTGGTAACCCTGGTTGCTGACTGCTGAGGGATCATGGCAGTGTCACAGTGTTACTGATGGATATAACCAGATAAACAGATTTTTGAACAGACTGAGAAATGGTTGCAGACCTCCTTGCTGTTGACGGGCTGAGCGAAGATACTGTACTGGTCTTTTTCCTGCAGCTGACTGAGCACCGCTCTCAGCAGGATGTTGAAGGGTGTCAGCTGGACCTCCAGCACCGACTGCTGCTGCTTCAACTGATGGGAAGACAAACAGTCAAACAACCATGTACGGACACTAACCCAAGGTTTCATTACAGACGAACAGGATCAGATATGATTGATAGTCACAAGTGTTTGTACTGAATGTATTTTTTATTTATTTATGTGACTTTCTTTGTGTGGATGTTGCTGTCTTAAAAATTAAAAAAGTAAAAAAATAACCAGAATTAGAAGCAGGACATGTTGAAATGACTCTACCTCTTCCCTCTTCAGCTTCTCTCTCTTCCTGATGAGCTCCAGCAAGAGGCGAGCTCGCTCCAGGTCGTGGCGGAGGCGGTGCCACTCCTTCAGCTGCTCCTTCAGTGCCTGGTTCGTCTCCGCGCGGTCCTGCACACAACACGCAAAGTTCATTTCAGTGACAACTACATTGAAAGGTTAACGCTTCAGTCAGAAAACGTGTCGGCTGTACTGACCATCTGCTTGACTTTGGGTGGCTGAGGGTTGGCCTGTAGCCGGCGGATCAGTGGCACATTGTTCCTCGACTGCCTCTTCTGCACCCAGTAGCTCAGCACCCGCTCAACAAAGTGACGCTTCCTCTGAACCGCCACCTGATTCAGGATGGTGTCAAAACTGACCCACAGGAAAACAGAGGGAGATATTAATCAATAAAAACTCACAATTTGTTTCATTGACTGATGCAGAAACACAACTTTATACTATTTTAACAGTTTGTGATCAGCAATCTCTCTGATAGCCGGACTTCTCGTGTTTCTTAACCCATCAGACTTTTTTTTAGTGGTGTCAAAGTGCTATAAATATTAACTTGGAAAATACAATGTTATTATTAATCATTGACAGAAAAACGATCAGACACAGGTCTGCAGAAAAATGTTCTCAAAATGACAACAACTGAACTGCAGTAATATCTGATCAGGACAACGGAAAAATAAAAACTTGATCACTGGACTGCTGATTATTAGATCTCCTTAAAAAAAATGTTTCTGTCACCCATCCAGTATTTTTTTTTTTCTGTGGATCTTCAGATGCATTGCTCCAATTTTCTGTATATATTTATTCAGTTATTGACACAATTAGCTCAAGTATGATTTGACTCCTGAAACTTGACAATGTGAGTACTGATTAATCATTAACGTGAGATGCATTCTGGGGGTTGCCTGCTTACCTTGAAGCGGTGATACTGGGGCCAGAGTTGGTGGGGGTCTCAGGTTCTGGTTCGGGCTCTGCTCTCTTACTCTTCTTCTTCTGCCAGCTCTTGGCTCGGGCCTTCCCCCTCTTGTCAGCCCTTTTTTGACAGGCTCCATTTGTCGGGTGCGGCTCCTCGTAAATGTTGAGCGGCCGACGGTCGCAGCCTTCGGGTGTGTGGCTGCAGCAGAAGGCGGTCTTTTTCACAGAGAAGGTGGTGGCGCCAGATGCTGTCACCTCTTTCACAGGTTCCATCTTCATGTAGAGGCCGGCCTTTTGGGCACAGCTGACATGAAAGGCGGTGTAACAGTACATCTTATCACACTGGATGCACGCTCCCGCACCCTTCTCTTTACACAGGTAACATGTGAGCTTCCAGCGAGCTGGTGGGATATTGCGAACGCCATCGATTGGCTCAATGAAAACAGTGTCAGAGAAGCCGACCTCAGGCACCCACAGAGCACACGCTACGTGACCCCAGCGATCGTCGTCAGTCTTCTTCAGGGCACCGCCTCGGTTGGGACAGAAGACACACTCAGCGGGCCGTGACGGGCTCTGCAGACAGTGTCTGCACAGCCACTGGCCCTCTGGGATGTACGGCACCCCGTAGCACTCCTGGTGCACTGCAATGTTGCAAGAGTCACAGAAGAGGATAACGTTACTGTCTGCTCCATCTCCATCCATGCAGATGCAGCAGACAGCGTCCTCATCCACCAGCGACTGCAGGTCGCTCTGACCCTGCGTGGCAGAGTACGACTCCTTTTCGAAGCGGTCCATGAGGAACTCAAACAGATTGTGCGACACCTGGCTGATGCCCTCGCTCTTCCTCTTCTCGTTGATTAGCTCTAGCCAGGCGTAGTCCTCCTCGTCCATATCATACTCCACCTCCTCGTCCAGTTCCTCCTCTGTCCTCTCTGTGTATTTGTAATATGCCACCGGCCTCTTTGGGACCACCGGCAGATTGTATTCAACCGTTCTAACCTTTGGCTCCAACAGACCACCAGTACTGCCCTGCGTGCCAGTGCCGCCATTGGAAGCAGTGCGCGCTGCATTCTTCTTCTGCTGGTTGTTTTTGAGGCGCACAGAGCGCACCAGGACCTGCTGGGGCTTCTCGTTATTCTCCTTGTTGCTGTTGCACTCCATGATCTCCTGAGCTGTGGGGTCGTCGTCTGTGATGACGTCCAGCTTGTCATAGATGCTGAGCCGGTGCACACGGCCGTCCACCTCCAGCTCCACTATTCGTTGAGCCTGTGCATACGTCAGTGTCTCCCTGTTGGGTGACGGCTTGATGGGTGAAGAGTCCCGCTTCAGAACCGCCGGACGGTGTTGTCGACCCTTTTTCTTCATTATGAAGCCGTAAAGACCCTAGCAACAAAACACATGAAACAACAGTGTCAATAATTTGTTGATGTAATGACAACAACATTACAACAACACTATTTTTATTATGTCATTATTTCACTATGTGAAGCAGCAACCAGCACACAGAGCAGTAGATGTTGGATCTCACAGGACCGAACTGTAACCCTCAATCCTGCCTTACAGGACCAGAGAAATAAGTAAAAAATGAAACATAAAACTTTTAGTTACAGTGTTTTTATACTTTTTCTGTGGGTCCTGTTTAAAGAAGTCCATTTGAGGACCTGACTACAACAATTTCTACTTGTCTTACACCACTGATGCTTTTTTTATTGATAGAAAATGTTACTTCTATCAGAAGTCTACATTACAAAGTCTCATCTGGTTTCAGAAGTCACCCCTGAATACTTGGCAACATCTATTTGGTGATGCTGGTTACGTCCTGACTACATTAGGGCTGTGTGTTTGAAAATGTTTGATACCTGTTATTCCGTACCAATACCAAACTTCTTCCAACACTTACTGCTTGCTTGCCTGATTATTGAGTGACTAGTAAAGGTAGTTAATTATGCACCCTGAAGGTTTGTTATTAAATATCAGTAATGTCTGAGTGTCAACGTAAATATCAAAATCCTTGCATGGAAAGCTGGGGAAAAAAAGACGTTTCAGCTCTACATACCATTAGAAATTATTTTAGAAACATGTACACACTGCTGCAGCAAAGATATATGTTTGTTTGCTGATCTTTCTTCATCTGTATCCTCCTGTACATTTGTTTTCTACACCGACTATAAAAACAGTGACGGTTACTGAAAACCAGAGCCAAATCCCACTAGATCTGCAACTATTATTTTATTAAATGAAATGATTGATTATTTTCTTGATTAACTGATTACTCCATAGATTGATAAGATGTCAGCAATTAGTGGAAATGCTACCAGCTAATATCTGCTGGTTCCTAACCTAAATAATGTCCAAGAATTTTGCTTAGAAAACAATTCAAAAAGTTAATTTATGTGTTAAAACGCTACTAATAAACAATTTCACACAAATCATTTCTGTATCCTGTAGTAACATCACACTTCCTCTCTGCACTGGTATGGTGCACGGTATATTGAGAGCGGCTGAAAACAAATTCCTTTTAGGTGTCAACACACTTGGCCAATAAAGTTGATTCCGATCCTCTGTTGTGCAACTAAAACTAGAAACAGTATGCAACTACAAGTGCACTCTCCCAGGCACACATGGGACAGCTCGTCGCTTGAAAGCTGCAGCCCCAGTGTCTGTTAGTGCAGCTTTAAAGTATGAGCTCAACACGCTTTCATCTGCTGACTGTAGTTACAGTACAGGGGGCGGAAACAGCCCGACTGTGATAACGTCCACTGGATGAATGAAGGATATGGCAGCACACCTCCGCACCGACTACACCGAGCCTCTCGTCGGCTCAGCCAGCCCGACTGAAGCCACTGAGAGCTGGTTGTTGTTGAGGATCGTCAGCTAACAGCAGCTGCAGCTTCAACGCGTCCAGTTTCTCTCTGACTGTGTTGAACGGTATCTGCTAGCAACGGCTAACGTTAGCTCCACTCAGCCGAACGATAACGTTGATCTGTGTGATTGTTCGAACCGGGTTCACTGTTATGAATCAAACACAGGTCTGCCACAGGGACAGACGACTCGGTGGGGTCCTCCTTTCTCGCGGCGGCCTCTTTGGTCGTCGGTTAAACGCATTAGGACACTCCGTCCACAAACCGGGCTAATGTTAGCCTGCTAGCATTACACCTAACTGAGGGGGGAGGAAATATGGCAACCAACACAAGAAACTGCCTCGATTGGAAAAGGTGGCTCTCCCCCGAAGCAGCACGGATTGGTTTTAAATTCAAACCTCTCCAGAAAGTAGGGACTGGTATCAAAAAGGCGAGGGCAGACAGAGGCTGAACTTACCTTGGTATTTTCACGAATTCAGCTTATAAAAACAGCAGCAATGGCGGCGCGGCCCGTGGAGCGAAGCGACAGTTAAATCCACATTCAGTCCGTTCACCCAACGGCGGCCGCGGCTCGCGCTTAACCGAGTTAAACTTGAAAGTAACCGACAGGTATCCAGGGCGACGGAGTCCGTTGCTGGTTTTATACTTTGATCAGGATAAATACTGATCGATAGGACTGTTTATAGGCAGTTGGAAGTGGCAGAGCTCAGCAACTGCCCGAGCTTCTCTTCCCCCAACAACAATGCGGTTGTGTGAGCCTTTACGCCGTGACGTCACCGCGTACAAAGGAAACCAGGAAGTCGCTACGGCCTTTGGGTGGGGGGGGGTATCTATGGGGTTTACAGTACAAGCACTATTTAGGACAATAAATTACATTTCAAAATCAATAAAACGAAATATTGTGATAACATCTATTCACTGTGGTAACCCCATATGTAATGTAAGTGAACAGAAAACCTGTGAAGACGTTATAGAGTTGTTCGTAGAAACCACTGGTAGAGGGATTTGATAGGATAAAAATAACTCTTTACAAGCTTTATTTTAAAGTGACCTTTAATGTTTAAATTCCAGGCAGGTAAATCTTTGTAGGAAAGATAACTTAAAAATCGCAACAGCTCCCAAACTACCGGTAAGTCACGAGCCAAAGAGAGCAGCATTAAACACCAGATGACAGCACAATGAGGGATTGTAATGTGAGACTTCCTTAAAACTTGATGTTGTGTACAAAAACACAATTCAGAGTTTAATGAGCCTTACAATTCATGTAAAGCACAGTGCTGGTTCGCCTTCAAGAAATGACTTTTAAAATATGTTTACACTTCCTCGGTCTGATGGATGAAGGATCTGTCATAAAATACTCCAGATAAAATCAGGCAAAACAATAAAAACATACTCCCCCGATTGGAAAAACATCCAGTAGGCTAAACATGTCCTGGTCCTATCTCTGTACTGTATGCACTGAAAATGATATCCATCTTCTCATGACACAGAAGAGACTTTCCCGAAATGCCGGTCCTTTAACGATAACTCTGTCCTCTTTCTCCTGCTGTTTATTTTTCCACCAATCAGCAGCAGTCCGACGGATCAGGTGGACTCAGCTGGTGGTTCAGTTTCGTCTTGACTCTGGTTGGGACAGTTGGACAGAGCGTCCTCTCTGGACAGCAGGTTGTTTTTGCGGAGGTGGCAGGCCTGTTGGTAGGGGGGGCGTATGGGCGGCTGGGTGGGGGGTGTGTACTGATACTGTTTACCAGCGTCCAGCTGAAGAAGGAAAACAGTAAGAAACATGGAAACCAGCAAATGTTAGATTATGTTTGTGAAGAAAAAAATATATATATATAACTACGTGCATCACTGTGAAACAAGAATAAAAAATAACAGGTGTTTGGTAACCAGAGCCTATAATTTGTCCTTAATTAACCTTAAATCACCTTCATTAATAAATTAAGGTACATGACTTTCCCCTTCATCCACACATTAGTAAAAAAATATTCAACAAATACATTAAAGGGGCCATATTACGCCTTTTTGCTTTAGTGTGTTTTATAGATATTTTGTGCACGTAAGAGGTCGGAAAAGTGACAAGACCTAAAGTCCACACCAAAGGGAATTACTCCAATAGAAAACACTGCTCCTGCACTGCCTGAAACGCCTCGTTTGTATTCAGCCTTTTCTTCCGTTCTCTATGACATCATAGAGAAACACAGCACCACCTATAGGCCAGGTGAGAGTCCAGTCCCACTGACTGAAACCCAGTGACTCTACCTCGCTGTCTGCCATTGTTTCCTCTGTAATGTGACTCGGGTAACAGAAAGATGTGAAAGCCATGAACAAAGAACGCCAGTTTCTCTGTTGTTGGAACCAACACAAACTTAATCTACTCCCACCATCTGAGGAAGTGAAGACCCACTGGATTCACTTTATTTTTGTGTCGAAGTTAGCTTGCTCATAGCTAAAAACAGTTTCAATTTCAAAGACTCAACTTCGCAGTGAAAATACATTAAATATGAATAAACAATGAAAATGACCAGGAGGATAAACTTGCATTTCCTCACCTGCAGAGGGTACGTTCTGTCTGAGTCGAAGGCACTGAGATCCCCACACGCTAGGAAGGGAACAATGACACGGTTTGGACCCTCTAACTGGTTAAAGTCCACATCTGAAGAACAGAGACCAGAACACAGACTGAGGACAGACAGACAGAGGAGAACTAGGACCAGGACATGCAGGGAAGTAACAGAATGATCCAAATTGGAGTTTTGATACTGAAACAGTTACGATTACTCAAAATGAAATAGCACCACAGTTATATTATAAAAACACCATTTTAAGGTGTGTCTCAAGTGAAGGGAAGCAATAATGTTTCTATCTTACACCACCTCCAGATCAGATATTCAGATACAGATCACATATGGAAAAGGGCTCCTAGTTACCATAGGAATGATCCAGCAGAGGGTTGGACATGTTGGGGACGTAACCGTCGGGAGGAGAGTAATTCTGACACACCACAAAGGCCTCTGCACACAGACAAAAGTAATTTGCAAACACAATAGGTTCAAATGGAAATGAATCTGAAATGCATTTTTACGTTCCTCGTCTGGTAAACCTATTTTGAAGTATCATAGCGCACAGCGTATCCAACCAACAAATTTCAAACAAAGTATGCACCCAGGTTTATGAGGGCTGCGTGACTGGTGACTCACCAATGCTGGAGTTCCTGCTGCTGCGAGGCTTGGCGCAGGTCACACCACTGAAGAAGATCTTCAGCTGAGAGTACAGCAGAGTCACGTCTTTACCTCTGAAGATCTGAGACACACAGGACAGTAAGGGGTTAATACAGTTGGATTTGACAGTGTACACGGCACACAACAACTATTTACACTGTACTAGTTATCCAGAGTAACAGGATGAGTTTTCAGCGCCAGGCAACCAGTGGAGACGCCAGAAGAAACAGTCTGACACAAAACCTCTGTGTTGTGATCTCGTGAACACCATCAAAGTCACAAACGTACAAGCATACACATATATACACACACATATATACACACACACATTTATAAACACACACACACACACACACAGTGAATTAAGTGCATTATATATAAATCATATGAATAAAAGTTAAGACTCACCTTGGCCACAAACGTCCCTCCAGGTTTCAGGACGTGAGTTGTGATGTTCAGAGCCTGAGACACAAACAGCTGTCAGCATGACATCACAGGCCGACAGGTGAGTAAAAAGACAACTCGGTACTTACAGCCAATAGGAGCTGAGCCTGGATGTACTCATCCACATCATGGAGCCCGGTTACTATAAGGACAGAACAAAAAATAAATAAACTGAATAAAAACTTAGATTTAGGGAGATGTGAGAGACTTGACAGCAGGTAAGCACGGACAGGGAGTGAGCATCTCACCATCTGGAGCTCCGTCACACACTACCAGATCCGCCGGCTGACCCTCAAAGTGACGGATTATCTCCTGAGCGGTCGACACCTGAAAAGAAAAAGAAGACACAGGTCATGTTTCTCACCGCAGGTGTTTTTAAATAACTAGAATGTTGCAGATATACGTCATTAAAAAGGCAACGGCAGGACGACTATAGTTTTTTTTATCATCTGTTTGGGAGCAGAGTGAAGTCAGCTGCTCTCCACAGATACTAATGAGGGCCTGGATATGCTGGTTTATCCAACACGTGTTCTCCGCATATCTTCTTTTTTTAAAAGGACTGGTCATCCTGCTCCTTTCAGATGTAGTGTTCTATTAGAGTTTATTCATCATGCCCTCACCTTGGTGATGTCTCCCTGGATCTGAGTGACTCCTGGCAGAGGAGCCATTGCCTGCAGGTCCACCGCCACAATCTTCACCTCTTCAGCCCCCTCACCTTTCTCCTCCTGCCCTCTAAGTGCAAAAAACAAAACAATGAATTAAAAAAAAGGTCTAACTGAAATGATCTGCACCCCACAGGAAAACATCTCAATAACTCTGGATTTAAAATATTTTATTTTATTGTTTTATGAAAATACAATTAAATTCAAGCCACATAGAGAATATCTGTCCAGGTTAGTATATGTTCATTTAAAAATAAAAAACACAAAAAAAGCTAAACCTGAGTTTCCGACTGAGGACCTGACTCCAGCTGCCAGGAGCTGCACACAGATCCACCGCTCTGTTCACACCTGAGAGAGAGAGAGAGAGAGAGAGAGAGAGAGAGAGAGAGAGAGAGAGAGAGAGAGAGAGAAAGAGAGAAAGTGAAGTAATTTTTAACAAATCAGGCGTTTATTAAAATACTTAAGAACAAGGTGGGTAGGGGACCTGTTGGGTGTCTGATGCCCGTCCTGTAATGATCCACCCACGGACAGAGGGTATGATCAGAGACGGGTCCCCGGTTGGTCTCACCTGTGAACAGACTGAACTCGTGGTCAAGCTGCAGCAGCTTGAAGGCGCTCCTCGCTCTCCAGCCCTCTTCTTTGGCCAGACGGTAGTAAATGTCCCGCTTGTCTTTGGAGGAGCGACCCATCCTGACCCCTCTGATGGAACACACACACACACACACACACACACACACACACACACACACACACACACACACACACACCTTATGTGACAATGAGTGGTGTTTGGTTTATTTTTTGTTAGCCGAATTTAAGAATGTCTCTAAATGTGTCTAAAATATATTTAGTTATAATTTAATGAACACGTTGTCGTGCTGCAGACCGGTTTACATGATCAACTTTGCTTTTTAAACGGAGTTTGACGTGAGGTGCGCAAGAAACGGCTTGTTTCATTTCTGTCTGAGCTTATTATCTCATGTTAGGTCAGTGTATGACCCCCGGTTAAATATATACACAGTATACTAAACAATACATGTAAAATAATAACATAATATCTTATTTAAACAGAGTTCATGAAGAATTTACACTGTTTACAGTCTGTTTCACATACTGTTCACGTGCTGTTCCGGTGTTGACGATGGACGGACCCCTGTCGATAGCTGTCCCTGAAGCGCCTGTTCAAAATGAGCAGGAACAGGATGCGCCCACCCCAAACCCACCATCTGTGCTAAAAGATTAAATATTTATGCGTTTAAATAATACCTATAATTAAATATGTATTTCAAACAACAATTTCGGTCTCTACACAAAGTAATGTTTTAACCGTATTTCTAACGTAATTGCACACGTTATAAACATCATAGGCAATGCGATAATCCAAAAAAGACAAAACAATATATAAAAAAAAGACATCAAATCTTAACCAATAAGCTATATTTCAATTATTTTGAAATTGTATATTTTCACTTTCCAGTGTTTCCGTGTTTCTGTCTTCTCAGTAGCAGCCACAAGGTGTCTCTGCAGATCCATCAATCTGCTTTCTACAAGGACAGCCTAAAATGAATGTCAATTAATGTGTCAGAGTAAAAATCCATTCTTATTTTACTCCATGAAAGAAGAAACAAAAGAAATTATTTCATTTCCTTTAAGACTTATTTATTCACCCATCGACTGTATATTATTTATATATTTGTTTTTTTTGTAGCATAAAGTAGTAGTCGCTAACTTAACTTTGTCATACTGTGTTGTAAAATTATGAATACATAATAAATAATAACTTAAAAAAGCTCATACTGAAAATGGGATTTTATTAGAGGACATACAAATTTAATGAGATGATAATTATTTGAACACTATGAACCAGAAGATAATTCTTGTTATTTTTCCACTATATAAGAGTAGTAAGAGGTTGTTCAAGCTGGTCTCATAATAATGTGAAATCAATGTATTCTATTAATGATCTGAATCGAAGGAAAGGAAGTTTCACATTAATTAAATAGAAAATGACCTAAATCTGAGGCTATTTCTGAAGTGATGTGGTTACTACAGAGGAAGGTTAGTGAGTCTGAAAGAAGCCAACACAGCACACAGAAAATCAGTTTATATACAAAAGGTTTAATCTGAAAAAAAATTGTGAAAAAATATTTATTTTCTGCTCAGAATTTTATATTTTGAAACCAAAAACAAATGGAATGAAAAAAACAGTTATAACTCTTAAACCTGATGTGAGAAAACTCAATCCTAAACCTGATGATACCCTAACCCCACCCCCCAAAAAAATATTCTTACAAAAGACAAAACCATTTTAGACAAGTTAGACAGGAGACAACCTAAATAAATAACCACAGGATGTGGAATGTCTCTTTACTAAATAAATAAAACAAAATAATTTACATATACACACACACCTGTTCAATATACAAAACTAAACATTGCATTGACTGTGCATTATACACTCGGGGATTGAGGCAGGACTGACTGTACCTCAGTGCTGTGTGATAACTGACTAATTGCAAAAACAACTGTTGTATTGAAAACAATGTATGTCATTAATCATCGTGGCATTAATACAGAAACTCAAATATCGCACCAGCAAGGACAGACTTACTTCTTAAAGCATACATTTCCTGATTTAAATCATAGTTTTGTTCAGTTTGTGTTGAGACAAAAGTAAACACAAAGGATGTGACAGGTTTGTTTGCTGTAAAAGAAAGCGTTTATACTCAGCAGAGTAAAGTATCAACTAGTCACGTTTTGGTATCAGAACTGAGACTCCAGTCTGGTGTCCTGAACCGGTTCCAGTTCTCCAGAGGTGTGTGTGTGTGCGCGTTTGTCAAGTTTCAAGTATCCCACCATGTCAGCAGATGAGGAACCTTTGCTGACATCAAAGGGCATGTGGGATGTGTTTCCATGTGGAGTTTGTTTCCTCAAAGTACAGGAAAACATTCTATAAAGTGTAACTAAACTCCTCTCACTCACTATGCTTATTTATAGCACAGAACGCAGGATTCAAATACAATACACTAAAATGGCAAGAACTGGACCTGAATCAACCAACAACAGTACTAAATACCCATTTACACAAGTTTTATGTCTTATGGGGGTTTAGTTACTCTTTAAAATGTTGTTTAATATGTTATTATGTTAAGTTATCTTTCAATCAAAAAACTGCTTTTCTCTGTCTTGTGTCGCTGTAAACTGAATATAGACTGTTGGTCAAACAGAAATCAGACGTGTAAAGACGCCACCATACAATAGTTTCGTATGTAACATCCGAATATGTAGGGTGACCATTTTTGGTACTATCAAAATGTCAGAATACTATGTGGGAAAACATTTTTGTCAATAGGCCTAAAGTACCTATCAAAATAAAAGTATGATTATGTTTACAGCAGAAATTTCTATTCAGGTCATAGAATCTGATGGCTCACAGAATTCGGTGAAAGCCAGCTTTGATGCATTATGTACTGGCTACGCTGCTCCTAAAGGAACAGTCCCAAGAACACAATGCCAAGGTCTTTGGATGCCTTTGCAATGTTGACATAGTAATAATACCATCCACATTACTCAGTGACATTTACAACTCCCAGTGTCTCAAACAGAGGAGAAAATAAAAGCAAATTAAATCAGGCAGCACTATTGTGCCTCTGTCTTCTCAACAGCGATGACTGATAACCATGACAACCATAGTTATCATACCACCACTGATCAGCAATTATGAGATCTTTTTATTGTGGCCTTTAAAAGGGCACTTCCTTATCATTCACTAAACAATGAATAAACAATAAATGGGAAACTGATCAAAAATGAAAATAATAGTTAGTTGCAGCCCTACAGACGATTATAACATGTCACTGATACTAAAAGACATGTTTTTGGAAAAGAACCTGGCTGGGTTCCTCTGTGATTTAACTACAAGGATTCTTTGGGTTAGAACTTCACTAAAGAAACCTCTGAAGAACTATCCACACCTCCACTCCTGATGTGTAGTTGGGTTACCGTGGCGATGCTCTGCCCACAGCAGCTTTCAAACTCAAGGCACTCTGAAACAGGAACACCAGACGGAGAACAACGCAGGTGTTGAGGCTCCATGAGAGCTACTCCACCATCTGGGAACAGGAGGGGGCGCTGTGGAGCAGCACAGAGTCAACCTCATCCTGAATGGTGACCTGCCACTCACTCCAGCACTTCTGAGTGACAACGCCACAATCACAATTATAACACCGCCAGAGGACAGCTAGCTGTCAATCAAGTCCTTGCTACGCCCCCTGACTTCCAGCGGACCAATCAGAGGCTCTGCTGACTAGAGGAGGAAGATGCGGATGAGGAGGAGGAAGAGTCTGCTGTGATGGCATGGAGTGTGATGCCACCGTTGTCTGTCTGCTGTCCGCTGCCGCCCGTCACCCAGGGGTGGAGTAGGATCTGCTCCAGGGTTGGCCGGTCAGACGGCTTCAGGCTCAGACACCAGCCAATCAGATGCTCGCAATCTGTGACCGTAAAAGGAATAGATGAAGATGAACCATGACAGGAAATTAGCATCATCAACAACAACAAACTGGAAGAACTGTTTAATATTGTCAAATCTTTCATCCATGTATTGTATCCAGTATTTTGGCCATACTGTATAACTGCCGATTCCCATAGAAATTAATTACTTAAATGAAATTAATTATTAATTAATGAATGGAAATCAATCTAAAACCTGATCCTGAGATCTAAGTACAGCAGACGTCACACTCAGACTGACCTGAGGAGATTTTTCGTCTGAAGTAGACCCGCCCTCTCAGGATCTCCTCGTCCTGTTCGAAGGGGATGTCGCCACACACCATGTCATACAGCAGCACGCCGAGGGACCAGACGGTGGCTGAGCGGCCGTGGTACCGGCGGAACCGGATCCACTCCGGAGGACTATACACCCGCGTACCTGGAGTGCGGAGACAGGGAGTATTAGGCATTTTATACTATCAGCAGTACACAACAGTGATCTTACTGAGGCTCATAAATGCAGCCATTCCTGGGTTGCTGCAGTTGTCATGACAGCAGAAACACAATGTACAGTAAGTCGGAGAGGTGGGGACACAGCTGTAACAGGAAGTTACAGACAGACCATAACGTTGCTCTATAGCGACTGCTGCTGGTCACAAGAGTAGCAGCAGATGTTTCTGGAACCAACGAAGACACTGATGATCTGTCCTCACCCAATATAACAGGGCTGGTGCATGATGGGAAAGACATGTCCTACATTCTGGTTTCACAGTGAACACAGTTATTCTGTGATCATGTTGACCCATCACACATGTACTTCTGTACAATCTTGTAATCCCCAGACCCCTAACCTCTAAAACCCAAGTCAGAATTTTGGGCTACGAAATTGTGGCCTGTGCTTGAAAATATGAGTATCCATCCCCGCCTTTAAGTCCTTCTAACATTTGTCCTCATGGTCTAAAAACATCCCAGCGGTTTCCAAAACTGTCCCAACTTTCCTTACAAACGTCCTTACTTTTGAAAACGTCCTCAGTTTGTAAAACGGCTGTCACTTTTCAAAGATGTCCGACTTAACTAAACCTCATTGCCCTACAGAAAACATCCACAACGTGTAAAACGTTAAGTAAAACTAACAAGGATGGAAGGACATTTTTTGTGTGGACAAACCTGAAACTGACCTTTATGATTCACATATAATGTCCAAACTTTTCAGACTTTTCTACAGGTTTGTTTTTTTTTTGTTTGAGTTTCTTTTTCTGCTGTTGTCATGACAACTGCACCACAATCATTTCAGTAATTTGATGCAGCTTGCAGATTACCATAAGTTGGTAACACTCACCATCGAACTCAGTGTAGGCGGTGTCTTTGAGAAGGGCCCCTGACCCAAAGTCGATGAGTTTGATCTGTCCGGTCCTCAGGTCCACCAGCAGGTTCTCGTCCTTGATGTCTCGGTGGACGACGCCGCAGACGTAGCAATGACGCACAGCCTCAAGCACCTGCAGGAAGAAGTCACGCGCCGCCGCCTCGTCCAGTGCACCACGCTCCGTGATGTAATCAAACAGGTCCTGCCCCGGCTCGGGACGCTCCATTACCATCAGCCAGCCGTCTGGCCGTTCCCACCAGTCCAACAGTCGCACCACACCGCCAAATACCCCACCCACCTTCTTCAAGAGCACGATCTCCAGAGGAACCACTGCGCCGCACTGAGAGGATCAAAGAGAAAATTGAAAGATATATTATCAATGCACTGTCCATGAAAGTATAGTAAGAAAAAACTAAACATTGTAGCAATTCGTGTTTGGCATCTTTGCCTAAAAACGACCGTCTCCAGCCTTTCACATGGCTGAGGCAGATGAGCACCCCCTGCTCGAGGTTTCTACCTCTTAAAAGGACGTTTTTCCTTGCTATTGTCGCCAGGTACTTGCTCATGGTGGGAACTGTTGGGTCTCTGTAAATCCTTTTATAAGGAGAATGGTCTGGACCTACTCTATTTGAAAAGTGTCCTGACATAAGCTTTGTTATGAATTGGCTCTATACAAATAAAATAAAATTGATCTGAATTGAGGATTTGATACTTTCTTTGTCATACATGAGTATATTTGGGTTTTGGTCTTCAGACAAAAATGTATACATGCAAAGACATCACCATGGGCATTTTTCACTACTGTCTGACATTTTATAAACAAAGTGATTCATAAAAAAATAAAAATAAAAACAAGAAAAAGAAGATTAATCCACAATGAAAATATTTATTAGTTGCAGCTCTAAAAGATATAATTATTGCAGGAAAGACAGACAAAAAGGAGTATGTATATTAACATGCAATATACTATACTATAATTTCCAACTGTGCTCTTAAAGTTAGTAAAGGTGTCCAACAGGGATCTATTCTTGTTCCTCTTCTTCCAATCCACATTTTGATGTACACAAGAAAATATTCTTGTTCTTATTCTTCTAACAAACAGAAAGTTGTTTTAATTGTTAACAAAATGTATTTTAAAGGCCCGTGAAGAGAATCCTGCCACTGTTCTTTGATTACATCTAAATGTATTAAAACATTCATTAAGTTAGGTAAAAGCACATTTTAGGTTTAAATCTGTCATAAAATATTTTACATAAACATACTGAGGCGTTCTGAACTTGTTCTTGTAATTGTTTTCTTTTTGTTTATTGTGTACATAAACAGTGTGTTAGAATTAAGTTGTCGAGTCTGTTCTTGATCTCAATGAGATTGCCTTTTTAAATAAATGGTTAACTATCTAATAGCAGCTGAGGTGGTAATCAGTTTGACAGTTCATCTGCAGGTGAAAATGCAGGTAAATCTCACCAGAGAGCCCCACTCGGTCACTCTGTCCCTGCACACATGCTTCACCGCCACCTGCATGTAAACATAAATAACATCATTAACACACAGCTGCTCCATACAGTTAAATATGACACACAACATAAGGGGCAGAATAAATCCTCTCTATATATAAAAACACAAAATAAAGCCGTCATACAACAAACCAGCAGCAATAATAAGACTCTGTGGCTGTTAAATGTAACATGAAGCTCTTTGTTTGTTGCCTCTGTCTTTGAATGTTTTTCTTACTTTATAAATAAAAAAGGATTTTCCCAACAGTTTGAGGAATATTTTTATTTTTAAATGTATAACCACTTCCTGCCCCTAAGAGTATAAAGCAAAACAGCAAGATTATTTCTCAATATAAGAACATTGTAAAGCTTCATATACCACATTTCTTTGTGAAAACAAAGACCACATGCCAGACAGGAGGACTGTGCTGCACCAAGCTGCACAGCTGACAACAGTAAAAGAGGAAGTACGGACAATAGACACTGCCCTCCAAATAAAAGCACAGAGTCAACACATAATGTTTAGAGCTAATTGGGCACAGCAGCTGTGGTGATCTGAAAATGTTACTCTGTACCTATACTGGCAATTTTAAATATTAGAACAGAAATCAAAAGTGAAAACTGAAATGTAAGCCGTTTACTTTAAACTGTTCAAAATATAGAGAGTAGCTCCAATTATTCAGGAAGGAATGAATAATTCATGGATGAAAACAGCTTTAATATAAATATTAATAATAATAATGTGGTGAGATTGTTAGGCTGTCCAGGAAGGTCCAGAAAGAACTGAGCCTGAGCTTTTCAGCCGAGATGAACAAGATATCCCAAAGATTTCCTTAAAATGCAATTCCATGACAACAGAGCTAACTCTATCTTCTGGAAGATCTCTAAAAAGGCAAAATAAACCCTGTGGTGCGCCTGTGGTGTCAACTAGTTTGTCCAAGGTCGAGGATGACCTTTAATAATATCACGAAGACTAGTGCGGCTTTTATTTTAAAAAGGCATAAACCGGAAACGCAGCGGCTTCCCGTGCGTAACTTGACGCTGCGAGCCGCGGCCATGTGGAGCGACCAAAACAAAGCAGCTCCCCCCGCTCTTACCGGCAGCCCGTCGGCGAGGCGGACGGCCGAGTAGACTGTACCGAATCCCCCGCTGCCGACCACCGAACCCAGCCGGTACAGCTTCTCAAAAGGCTGCTTCTCGGCTTTGGCTGAAAAACACAGAAACACAATAAATGAGGAATATTCCGTGTGATTGGGAGGGTTGCGCCAAAATCTGTTAACCCCCCCCCCCAAAAAAACCCCAACCCAACCCCCACCAACACAGGAACAAAACCGTCTGTGTCCTCCGCGTGTTGTTGTTGTTTTTCTGCTTCACACATCGCTCTTCATATAAAAGGGTTTTACAGGAAAAATACTGAATTAACTCGCCAAGAAAACATAAACAAAGAAAAAAATAATCACAAAATCCACACAAGTACACAACCAAATGTCCTCGGATGACCCACGTTGTGCTTTGGGTCAGCAGTTTAAAAACAGTGGACTGTCGGTAGCATCATTGTGTCAAATAGGGGTTATTTTAACGGTGTTACACGACTAACTAAAGTGAAAAGAAAGGTGCTGTTTCATCAGAGGAGATGGGTTTTTTTATTCAGAGATAACTAGTTACACGTTTTGGCACCATATATCTGGCTTTCAAAATGGCCCCAGACAGTGTTATTAAAAGGTCATAAGTAGCAACCATCCACCGACTGATTACAGGACTCATAATGTAGTTAACGTTATATATCTAAATTTAAACACAGCCAGCTTCAACCGGTCCGAGCATTGTTCGCCGTATTATGTGACCGGATTCGGGACTTCAGTTAAATCCACCTGGGGTTAATGTAAGGTGAGTCGTCCCTGAGCTGACCGGTTGGGGTTAGGTAAGGAGAAAGTAATCCGGTCACAGAATACGGTGTAACACCGGCATGTTGTCGTTGCCACCGTTACCTTGCTGCAACTGGAGTTTCGCCGGCAGATCCATGCTGGACGAGATGTGAGAGAAGGAGCCCAGCTTAGAGAGCAGCATGCTGCTCCCACAAAATATAAACACACCCGGGAAATATTCGCCTAATAAATCCCAGATAACAGCGGAGTCCAGTGCCCTTTTCACGGGTGAAATAAAACGGAAACACGACGAAAATCCATCGATAGTCCTTTCGTTTACACAGAGGAAAAGTAAAATAAGAAGCCGCATCCACAGAAGCCCGCCAGTCTGCCGGCCTCTCACTGCGCCGCTGCCAATCTCTGCAAAGAACAGGTAGATCCTTCCGCCTGGCCCCCGCTGAACATTAAATAACACCAAAATAACCCAAATAATCAAACCTGGATGAACAACGGTTTGCTGAGTCACATCTGTTCAGGGTGAAATTTAAGGCAGTGACTTGAAAGGGAACCCTAAACCAATGAGAGAACACGCGGACTACTTTTACGTTGTAGGACAGGCGCAGGGATTCAGAGAGGGTCACTCCGGCAGTGCTCGGAGAGAGAAGCATCATCATTAGGCATATAAATATTATTAAAAAGCATCAAAAACATAACTAATGCATCATAATAACAATGATAATACAACGCTGTAAGAAATAGTATAGTGTACCATTACATTGTAATATAACAATCTGTATGCTCAGATTTTAATTAACTTAAACTGAACATCACTCAACATGATTATGTAAATGATACTCTTAAAGCTTGCAGTTCATCCATCAGGGTGACTCAGCCTGAAATCACATTAATCCAAGCAATTCAGCTCTCAGCAGTTATTCGGTAATTAAGATAATATAATAGGACAAGATCATCTGTTATTGATCCACCACAGGAGAAATTCGGCACAAAGGCAAAGAAGTACAGACAAATAGAGAAACTTAAAGCATATATAATTAATACAACACAAATATAAGAATAGAGTAAAATAGAAAGTATACAAGAGCAAATTAACTCAAACTAAGGGACACTGTTATTAGTGCTCACATGCTTTCCAGCAGTGATGGAAGAAGTGTTTGGATCCTTACACAAGTACCACAATGTGAAAGTAACTGCTAAAGAGAACCCTGAAATAAGTAAATAAGTAATAAACCCTAAAATTGTACTCATATTAAGTACCTGATAGTGAGGAACTTTCCACCCTCTGGTGAGGAACACTGCAGCGTGAGTGTGTGTATTCATACACAGTCTGGGTGATGACAGAGAACAGGAAGAGATGTAACACAGATTCACAGATAAAATTGAATTGTTTACAGATGAAACCATTTCCCTCGGCTTGAGTCATCTACTTCACTCCTGAGCCCGTATTTCCCAGAATGCTTTTCAAAACCACCCAGAGAACTGTGTGAAACAGGTGAATGCACTTTAATGTGATGATTTTATTATGCAGTTGTCTGTGTTATCACTCATGTTCTCCTGCATACTCCCTTCTATTATTATTATATTTATTATTATTATTTTATACTGCCTGTGACTCAGAAATCATCTATGCAACAAATAACATTCATATGCAGCTACAGAAATCATTTTTTTCTTTTACAGTATAATTCCTCTGTTTCAGTTCTGATAATTCACCACTTCCATAGACATTGTATGTATGTCTTTAAACTAAGTTCAAATTTTAAAACAATTAAAAAGTATTGCACACTGACCAAATGTAGTATATGAGCTCATTATGATAACTAATTTTTTGGCCATTTGGGTGCAGCAGACAAAAGTTGTGACCACAAAATTTTATATATCATCATCTCTTAAAGGTCCAGTGTGTAACATTTATGAGGATCTGGTGGCAGAAATGGAATATAATATAAATAGGTATGTTTTCATTAGTGTATACCTGAAAATAATAATTGTTGTGTTTTCCTTACCTTAGAATGAGCCGTTTATATCTGCAGAGGGAGACCATGTTGAACTGCCATGTTTCTCCTTTTAGTTTATATCATAAACTAATATTAATAAATATTATTGCTTATTCAGCAGTTGCAGAGTTATAATGTTTCATTTGGAGTTGTGTTTGTTGTTAGTCGTGTTGGTCCAATATTCATTCTCTTTTAGATCTGTTTGGCTGTTTGGCGGAGCATCTGCTATGTTCACCAGCTAGTTGTGTCTGTCTGTTATTTTATTCTGAGAGATAAAGATAAAGATAACCGTAAAATACCGTCTGTACTTCCCTTTTTCCCACAAAAATATAAGGTGTTTTGAACATCCTGCAGTATTACAGTGCATCTGTGCAATCTTATAATTTTGTCCTGTGGCACTGTAACTGAATGGAGCACCTGCAGCTGGTCGGATAGATCAAAGCATAAGCACTACGTTCCCACAATCCTCTCTGTCTGCTCACAAACTGCTGGAGCCGGTAGGATTGTTTTGATTGAGAAGGCAATGGGCGGGTCACATGACCTGCTGTATTACTGCCCCACTGAGACTAAATCTAGGTCAGCCCCTCCTCCCTCACTGTAAGTGAACGTAAAGAAATAGATTGACAGAAAAGAGAGAGCTGCTGTCTTTTTCTGGAGACAAACATCTTCACAAACTTCTTTTCACATCCATTGTATTTTGGGAAACGCATGGGACACCTCAAAACTATCTGCAAAAATCTTTGAGTGTTGGCTGAACTGGTTGACTGTTTGCAGCAGCATATCACGAACTCTGTGTTCTCTTGTTGCCCTCTTGTCCACAACGTGAATGTGCCTCGGGTCATTTGTTCTCGTCTATGTTATGCCGCATCTATTTTTAAAGCTGTGAAACAACTGAGCCTTCCCAAAGAGTGAAGCTGCTTCGTACTGAGTCACCTCTCTCCAGTTCCATTTCAAGACTTTTGGAAACGCTTGAACCTCTCATGTCATTTTCATGTCAAGATATTTTCCTGAGCGTCACTGTCAGAAAATAGTAATGTCAGCTCACAGCAGTGAATCAGAGGGCAGCAGCAGCTGTGATGGTGCAGGCGAACAATATCTGCCATGTTGTGCCTCTGGACTTGTCTCAGCTAAATTAACTGTCGTGGTTGGAGACACTCACTTCTCTGAGGAGAAGATGTTACTTGTTCAGAGCTGTGACTATTTCCAAGCTCTGTATCGCTCTGGGATGAAGGAGTGTTGGCAGGAAGAAATCCACCTCAAGTCCCTGCGTGCTCGAGGTTTCCTTATCGCCTTGGCGGTTCTACGAGGTGAGATGCCCGTCCTGGATGGCGACGACATTGTTGAGGCAATCGAATGTGCCGCTTTCTTGCAGGTGGCGGCGCTCACTAAGCATCTCATCAACATCATTGACTCTGACAACTGTTTGCTGATGTATCACACCGCTTCAACCTTCGGCCTCATGGACCTTTACCACGCTGCTGCGCTGTTTATCCGAAACATGTATGCCGACCTGGAGGGAGAGGTCAGGAAAACCTTACCATCAGAGCTGATCTCCTACGTGGAGTCTTTAACCCCGAGTGTTTTCGTGGCCGTGGGGGCCCATGTGACCTGCGGTGTGGATGAAACTCTACACACTGCCTCCAGGACGGTCTGCTATCTGGATGAAACTGGCAATAATTGGAAAGTATTAACAGATCTTCCGCTACAGGCCAGCACATCTATGGCTGGAGTGACTGTTTTAGATAACAAACTCTACATAGTTGGAGGAGTTCATGGACTTCAAAAACAGGTTGTGGACTCTTGTTTCTGCTACAGCGTTGAAAACAACAGCTGGAGCAGGATCTCCAGTCCCGCACAGCTGCGGTACAACCTCAGCCTTGTGGGCGTAGACGGCCGTCTTTACGCCATTGGAGGAGAATATGAGCGAACAGTGATGTCATCTGTGGAAACATACGACGTAACTTCCGGAATGTGGCAGTTTGCCGCTCACTTACCTCGACCAACAGCAGGAGCAGCGTGCACCAAAACCATGAGCCGGATATTTGTGTGCTTATGGAGGCCAATGGAAACCTCAGAGATCTACGAGTATGTTCCAAGGAAAGACGAATGGCAGCTCGTTAGCACGCTGATCAGGCACCAGAGCTACGGCCACTGCATGGTTGGCCACAGGGACAGCCTGTACGTCATAAGAAATGGGCCTTCGGACGACTTCCTAAGATGCCTGATGGACTGCTATAATCTCAGCTCAGGCCAGTGGTCGTCTCTGCCTGGACACTTCACCAACAGCAAAGGTTCTCTGTTCACTGCGGTGGTGAGAAGCGACTCTGTGTTCACGCTCAACAGGAGCATGACTCTGGAGTACGCCATCGATGGTAAAACCTGGAAGCCCCGCCGGCAGATGAAGGGTTTCCCCAGAAGTGGATCTGTGTGGACGTTTCTGCTCCAGCTGCCTGACACTCTCATGCTGCAGTAATTGCTTCATTTGCTTTGGGATTTATTGAATTGTCAACATCTTTTTACACTCAGACATGTATTTTCTACAGACCTGTGCTTCAATAAATTTAAAGGATGATTCTTGTTTAGTACAACTTTGTGTCTTTGTAGTGTCTTTGTAGTTTTGTCCATATTTTCTGATGTGGTCACCAAGCTTTTTACTGAGATCTGGGAACATAATGGCATCTACAAAAAGAAGTCAGAAGAGGTCTTGTGATAAAGTCTGTTTCCCCTGCGAATAATGTTTCCTCTAGTGCTGCCTTTCATGGTTGGGGTTGGGGTAAACCTGGCTTTAATTTAGGATAACAGGAAACACAAATTGATTAATAAAACAGATTTGGACACAACAAAGGCCCAATTTACTCATGAGGATATTGGTTTAAATGTCTTTGATGGCCAAATCACAAATCTAATCTGTATGCGATGCAATCAGTCTTGGTATTCCCCGGTTACATGCAAATCAGGGTCAGCCCGCTACCACCTCTCTTTGTGCTGACCCAGACGGATAACTTCAGTGAGACTTCAGCTGCCATTTCTGTGATCGGTTACTGATGTAGTAACAGTTGGGAGGAGTAAAGATTACTATTGTGTCTTGGAGGGACAGATGCATTTACACCTTTTCAACATCTTGCTGGATTGCATCTCAAACCATAATGCATTTAACAGAAATGGGATATAATATGCACAACTACGTTTTTTTTCCAGAATAGACAAACCAAACACTAGATTTGGAAGGTGAAGGTGAAGCGAGGGAGTTGCAATCTGCAATTACACCACTAAATTCCACTAAATTACACACTGGTCCCTTAATGCATTTATCATGCTAATCCGCTAATAAAAGCAAATTAAATGTAAGGTCTGTTGATTGATTCATGACGTCAACTCATACATTGAATAACATGCAAGAAAACATTCAACCTTGAAAGCTGCACACAGTGAATTGAAAAATTATTTCTCTAATCCATAGCTACCTAATACTGTCTAGTAAAGATGGAAAGGCAGCAAAACATCCTTTCATTAATTATTCACTCTGATGGTTTCTTTATTTGTGTTCTACAAAGCCAGGGTGATATATATATATATATGTATATATACTGTATTTATATGCTGTATTTATTTTTATTTAAAACACAAAATCTTTTATTTAATTAAATTAAAGAATAAAGCATGGTTTGTGGAAATGATTCACTTAAAACATACATTTTTAAAAGAAAAAGCATCATTGAGATTGTTTATATGACCATCCATCATTATCAGGATATGTTTTATAAATGTAAATCTGATTCAGATTCAGTCAGTGTGTCTCTCAGTGCTGTTGGCTCCATGTGAACTCCAGTGTTTGTCCTCACACAGAGCTTCTGTTTCCTGCAGCAGCCTCTGTTTCCTCTTGGCACTGAGTGATGATGACGACGGAGGTGAACGGCAGGCAGGGCCAGGCACCATGGGCAGCTGGGCTGGACGCCAGCAGCACACAGCGATGCTAAATCTGACCCAGAATAAAGAGAGAGGCTGGGGTCAGGCCGGGACACGACGCTTGGGCCAACGCCCTCTGCAACCTCCAGCTTGAGTCTGGGAGTGAGGCCAGGAGCCAGAGCTCTGACTCAGTGATGGATGAGCGTCTGTCTGTGGACATTAATCAGGTTATCAGAGACCACATGATGTGAGGGTCTTTGCTGCTCTTTACACTCTTACTCTGTTCTGCTTCACCTTCATTTTGAACACAAACCTATATCCACATCCATATAAGGAAATTCTATAATTCCTCTTAATGTTGGCTCCTTTTTCTAGCCCATGGTGGAATAACATTTACTCAACTCCTGCAGGCTACATAAGTACTTGTTCTTTCCTTGTGTGTTGTACATTTAAATATCAGACCTTTTACTCCACTACTACTACTACTACTACTAATCTATTTTAAAGCTTTAGTTACCACTAACTTGCAGATGCTGGTGCTAATATATTACCATGTATTATGATACCCAGCATAAAGTAGTCTAAATGTAATTAGTGTCAACAGTGATGAAGGATACATACATTGCCACTAAATCCTACACACTCGTCCTTTAAGTAAAGTTTTGAATACATGCTTTTTCTATGAAATGATACTGCAACTTTTACCAGCAGCAAAAGATGTGAATGTGAATTCTTAGACTAGTGAAAAACATCAGAACTACCTCTGTTGTGGAAAAAGGTTGATGTCAACGAGGTGATACAAGCTTTAGGATCTGTATGTTTACATGTACTGTGTTTTTATCCAACCAGCAATGCAGAGGAACTTGGTCAGTGTAAATACAGCCTTTACACACACATACACGCACCGATGGTCTGAAGTGGTCATGTCTGATTTCACTGTTGCCGTGGTGCAGCTGACCCCGGAGTGGCCCCTAAAGGTCACCCTGACATCTCAGGCTTTCAGTCCAGCTTGACCTCTCACTGTGCTGTTGTCCCTATGAAACAAGAACCCATTAAAATATCATTGATCATTCCTTCATTTACCCCTTAAAATACCATACCCTTTAAGGACATCATAATTTGAATACAAATTATCAACAAATCAAGTAAAAATGTACACATTAATTCAAAATAAACAAATCCAATTATGAACAATTTGAAGCTGCAGTGGGTGTCTTCTTCACTTTGGGTTGGTGGCTTGAAGATTGTTGATTGCTGAGTCTCATTCCCTTTGGGGCCCAAAGTGTTGGCATTTGGCAACCTGGGAATAAGATTCAACAATCAGCTATCTTCCTAGACTCTGATTGGTTGTTTTCGTTCAGGCACGGTGAATTCCTGCAAATGCCATTAGGAGCACTAGGAGGATCTGGAGGAACTTGATTTTTATACAGATTATCTGTCTCGTGTACCACTGTCAGGATATAGTGAAAGTTTTAATAGTGGTTCGACATGGCAGACTCCAAAGGACCTGCTCCCTCTGTAGATAAAAATAGGAAACAAAAACACAACAATTTACAACAAGGATTTGGTTTCATAGCAGGTTTTTTTAGCGTCTATTTATTTCCCTTTTAATAAATTCATTAACTCCAACTGAAGAAAAGGAAGTGTGTGTGTGTGTGTGTGTGTGTGTGTGTGTGTGTGTGTGTGTGTGTGTGTGTGTGTGTTTGTTCAGTCAGGGTTAAGTGCACCAATTTGTTAGTAGGAAGTCATCCAATAAGGCCTGGAACTGAGCTCACCATTGAGGCAATGACACAGCTTAACTTTTGACCTCTACAAAACTGCTTTTATAAAAACGGACCTTTGACTCTCTTTTTAAAACCATTACGTTTTATATTAAACTATAAACGTTTTATGTAACGTTTTATGTATGTGAGGGGTGATTTTCTCAGCTCTGTACATAGGTGTATTAGAACTACAGAGGCTCATCCATCAGGAGATACAACCCACCCCCCACTAATGTCTCCTCTTTTCAGCTTCCAACACAAAGACGAGTGCTGTGTCCTAATCACCAACAGAGTTCAGATTTTCACTCCGTAAATGGTCGTCTCTCAGCGGGGAAAAAGAGCCTATTTATAGACTGCGGAGTGAGGCAGCAAGTTGGTCTTCTTTACACAAATGTGGCATTAAGGAGCCTCAGTGGTGTGTGTGTTAGTGTGTTTGTGTGTCTGTGTCTGTGTTGGGAATGACCATCGCTCACAGCAGTAAAAAGAGTGTCCTTGTTAAACTTTGAACAGCCGAAACACAGTCTGAGTCTACTCATGCTAAATACTGACGTTTACAGTTTATTTACAAAAATGTGTTTGCTGATTAAAAACTCTGCTGGTTTGTTTAGCTGTTTGTGTTTGTCTGTGTTGCAGAGGTGGCAAAATCTTATAGACATTGACATTTTGGGAACTTATTTACTACCAGCACAGGAATTAACATTTAATATCTTGTTGGTTTAATCTGCACAAAAAGTGTAAAATCACCACACTGAGGTTTTACATGGGGTTATAATATGTGTTAATATATCATTTTCAGCCAGGTGAGACTTCCTGGAGTCATCACTGTGTGATTGAGACATCCAGCTCTTCTTACTTTAAAGGTCAGGTGTGTAACATTTGGAAGATCTATTGGCAGAAACTGAATATAATATTCACAGGAATGTTTTCATTAGTGTGTAATCACCTGAAAATAAGAATCTTTGTGTTTTTGTTACCTTAGAATGAGGTATTTATCTGCAGAGAGCTGCCATGTTTCTACAGAACGAACAACCTAAACACTGACTCCAGATAGGGTGTTCTCACATTTCCTGGTTTCTCCGTCGCCCTTGGAAGGGAGTTAAGCGAGGGAGTTGCAATCTGCAACTACACTGCTAGATGCCACTAAATTCTACACACTGCTCCTTCCATACATCCATGCCTGTTTGAGTCTTTGTGCTAAGCTAAGCTAACCGCTTGCTGGCTGTAGCTCCATATTTATTTCAATGACGAGAGAGTCAAAGAATCAAAGTCACCCCATTCATACAGTGGATGTGACGTTAGCATGATGCAGGTTTACTCAACATGGATCCAGCCTGCCTGTTAAATGATGGACTACCTCCCAAAGGGAAACTGCAGGGTGACAGTTATTTCTCTTTTCCATCTTTCCACTATATCATTCACTCTCTCCTCTTTTCTTCCTCTCTTTTCCTTCTCCCTGAACCTCCTCTCTCTGCTGCAGTGTACAGTGTATTTGTGTGAGCGTGTGAATTTGGACTCGGTGTCAGTGTGTCCTTGGTTCACCTCTCTGCTGCTTCAGCATCATCGTCCTCTCACTGGTCTTAAAGAGAAACACACACACACACACACACACACACACACACACACACACACGCTTCAACAGTTTGCAGTCGTTATAAATCATCAGTGTAAAATGACATGTGAGTTTTATTTATACAGCCCAACAGAATACATAAATTCACAAGAGGCAAAACTCAAGCACACCATTGACTCAGATAGAGGAAAAGAAACAGAAAAGAATACAGATACAGATACATACAGAGGGGGACTGAGATCCAGATCCAAAACATCACACATTTCTCTTTCCTACCTCCTCCCTCACCTCTCCTCCTTCATTTGTCCCTCTTCTGACAAAGCAATGTATGATGTTACATTTTTGTATTGTATTTTTATTGTACTTGAATCTCAGTATGATTGAGAGTGTTTTCTTAAAACTGGAATCCAGTGTAGTGCATAAAGAAAGGAATCGAGAGAGACGTAAAAAAGAAGAAGAAGAAAAGAAAGAGACAGAGGGAGGGAAAGACAAAAGCAGGAGTTCACAGAGCCAGATGAACCTGCTGACTTCTCCACCAAAGCAAAGAGACATGTTTCCCATACTGCCCCTGCTGGACAGGACAGGAAGTGTAGGTCATTACTGCAGGATTGTGGCGTGGTTAGGTGGATAATAAAGACCAGAGGTAAATGTTGCAAACACCAGTGTAAAAATAGTATACTATAATAATTTTACTTAAGTAAAAGTACTCAAGTAGCATAAAAATATACTCAAACTACCAAAAGTAAAAGTACTCAATACACAGAATATCCCACTTTTTTTCAAATCAACTCGCTTTTATATTTCTGCCTCAACCACGACACAGTGGTGAATGTCATTTACTTTGTGCCTCTCACAGCACTGAAAATGGCATTTAGAAAAAATGACTTTCTCTGTGTCTGCTGCTGTATATATTTGTGGGTGTGTGTGTGTGCGTCTGAATGTTTGTATGTGAATTTGGACTCAGAGCCAGTGTGTCCTCAGTTCACCTCTGTGTAGCCTCAAAGCCAAAGCATCATTGTGCGCTCAATAAAAAGTGTTGAAACTAATTTTTACAGTTTTGTTTTACAATGGGTTTGTCTTGTTTGTACTTTTCTTTTTCCACCTCATAAACTGTTATCTTCAAATATGTTATCTCCAACGTGAATAGAGTGGACAGCATGTGAAACCACCTGTGTTACTGAAGGTCTGGCTAAAGAGTCCAACCTTTCACTCAGTGAGATCGCTGCACCTCTTCATATCACAGTTGGCAGAGAGAACATTAATGACTCTAAGAAACATTTTTCAGTGACAACTTTCCCTTTATTTTTTCTTGTCAATATGAAGATGATTGGTAGGGAAGTTGCACTCAAGGCACTGTCCGTACTCAAAGATAAAGAGAGTTGGTTTGGTTGGCTCTCTGGAGGACTTGGATCCAACCTGTCCATAGAGCAGCTCAAACCAAAGAACCAAACAAACAAACAAACAAACAAACAAAAAAACAGGGCTGAAACAAGTCTGATCTGACATAGGGCCAGAATAGGACCAGTTGGCTAAGATATGGCTATGTTATGGACCATATATGAAAAGTAATTCATTGCTGTATTTGGACCGAGTTTATGGGAATGACCAGTTGTGGGTAATTGAAGTTTTGTACTACAGTGGAACGACACTGAGCTGGAATTAAAACAGGTTTCCTAATTAATAAAAAAGAGTTCCCTCCATGCCAAGAAGATCACATAAATGAAACGTATGGCAGACAAGAAGAAATTACCAACTCTACAGTCAGCATGCTCACAATGACAAGGCCAACACGCTGATGCTTAGCAGGTATAATGTCTGCCATGCTACTCCTGAGAGTCATGTGACTGGAGTCATCCATCCGAGTAAGGAGGGGTCAGTTGACTCAAGGACACGACATATTTAATTATTAAGTTTATTAATGTTAAGACTTTATGCATTAAAAATGTATTAATAACAAAAAAATAACATTTGGTGAGGAATAAAATAAATAAGGCTATACAACAATAATGGACAATGTTGAATTTATACATTTTTTATCAATTAAATAAAATGTTCTGGGTACATATCGTGGGTTTCTTTGGTAGAGGGGGGTTAACCACGTAAAACAAGCTTTTAGAAATAATTAGCTAATTTTTAATAACATAAAATCTGTCTGAATAAGGAGCAGGAGGGGGGAGTATACAAAACCTGGGCTAAGACATTCAAACATTCAAATAAAATAATGTCCTAAAAACTCCATAAATATATTGTATTTTAAAAGTGTAGTTTTACCGGTCCACACTTTATTTGAATTTCAGTCCTGAAATGATTAAAATTTCAGTCAAAACACAGAGGCAGCCTCAGTCCTGATTGTAACAGGTGTCCCCTCCTTTGTGTCTCCTTGTTGTGAATGAGACAACCCCCCCAGCCTCCACTTCACCCCCCCTCCCCCCAAGAGTAAGCAGACAATGATGTGTGACTCTCATGAATATTAAATATATGAATATATTTTAAAGCAGCTTAGAATTTATGTCTGCTTCCCTTAACCAGTCTCTGTTGTCACTGATTTAATGTGTGTTTGTGTGTGTGTGTGTGTGTGTGTGTGTGTGTGTGTGTGTGGAGGTGTGGTTCAAGACATTTCTCACCAGGCCGGAGACAGCTGATCTTTGACCTCTTAACTCGTCTCAATATGTTTTTTTCTCATTGGGTTGTTATTAGCATTGTTAGTGTCATAGCATCCAGGAGGCTGCTGGTGGCTGAGGTTCAGTCATCATCAGAGCGTATTGTGTTTGAAGATTAACTGCTGAAATAAATCAGAACAAGCGAGACATAACACATTTATCTCTGTTATCGTGGAGTGTCGGGTTAGAAGGACTGAAAATTAAAAACACAGGCTGTTCAATGTCTAAGTTAGGAAAAAAACCACTTAATTCTCCCATATCTGAATTTGAATCTGAGGAAATGTCGCTGCAGAAGTCAGTTTGACACATCATTTTTTCTTTTTGATGGAACTAGGCTAGCAGTTTCCCCCTGCTTCCAGTCTTTGTGTTAAGCTAGGCTTATTCTCAAAGGCTTTTTCTTGATCTACTGTGGCTTTAATTTGACCATATTTGCACGTCACCTTGGACAAATAGGCTACAAATGAGTAACTGTAAATGTAATCTATTGATGTACTGGACACACAGAGATCAAACCATCTTCCAGTATAGTTCCAACAAATCTGAATGCGACTTATAGAGGGCAATGTGTGTGTGAGTCCGTCTGTCAGTGGTCAAGGAGAGTGTCTTACCCTTTGTAATTGTAACTAAACCCCTAACTTCTGCCCCCCACCCCGCTGAGCAAATAAAAAAAATGCAGCCCAGAGAATCAAATAGGGGGCGTGGCCTTGTGGAGATGGGTGTGTGAGGTGGGAGGTAACGGTGACCAGAGTGACAGACTAACCCTAACCAACAGAAGAAACTGTGTGGTCTGTGTTACCAGAATCCCCCATATTGATTTCTTATAACTCCAGGAGGCCTTTGTAAAAAAAAAAACAAAAAAAAAAACTTGTTGTATTGTCTCCAGACAATAATATGCAGTTGTCTTAAATTTCCTTCAAAGTCTGATATTTTTACACAACAAAGCTTGTTTATTAATATCAATAAACATGTTTAAACATTTATACATTATATATATACGTCTGGCAGTGTAACATAGTTTGTTGGAACCAGTTATTTACTTCTTAGTTCTTACTTGAGGAGGTCAACAGATTGTTGAGAAAACTCAGTTACAGTGTGAAAAGGTCTTAAGAGAGAGAGAGGATTCCCTAAATTGTCTGAGCGTTCCTTTGACTAAAATCAGAGGTGCCACAGGATTGACAAGAACCAGAGGAACCAGAGGAACCAGAGGAACATGTTATATGTTTTGGCCCCTCATAAAGTCAGAGGGCCTGTGAGGGGACAGATGGATGCTTTGGTGCTGACTGACAACCAGATGACGACACTTTGTTGTTGTGCACTCAGTCGGGCAACAGCTACCCCCTGCACCTCTCCATTCTCTTCAGAGGTCAAAGGTCAGAGGGCGTGTGGGTTCGTCTGGAGACATGTGACTGACAGTGCTTCATTTATTCATACATATAACATCTGTGTGGCTTTATTGTTCAGTTCATTTTGATTTCTATTTATGTCAATAAACATGAATATTTGTATTTATTCTTATTGTCTTGTTAATTTTTTCTCCACTCTTCACTTGTTAGTAAAACATTTTCAGTCAATTATTATTAAGAGCAGCTGTTAACCTGATAATAACATATCAAATATATGATGCATTATATATAAGATCCAATTAACTGTGAAGATATAGGCTAATAGTGAGTGAGACCTATTATAAATAATACATCTTTCAATAATGGGGGGGGGACTCACAGCAGACTAAGATATGTCATGTTGTTTCTCCATTGGTAGAACTTGGTGCCTACGAGAGTTGGATGGGAGTGAGTGTGTGTCTTTATTCTTATTTTCAAACTTAAGATAAAAAGTGTCGGAGAATGATTTAGTACTGAATAAAAATATAGGTAAAAATAAACAGTAGACATTGTATAGACCTTCACTGATACAGATATGACCATATGGGTGGATTATATGATTGTACTCAAACATCCCTCTGTAAATTGGATTATTGCACAGTATATAACCAAAATCATCAAGCTAAATTAAAACGTGTAGTCTTCAGCCATGTTCATGTGGAACAGGTCGAGGTCCTAAGCAGACCCCAGCAGCAGACAGGCGCACTGACGTGTAAGACTCTGGAGTGACTCGACGGCGCCATCTTGCGTCCGGTCCCCGCGGTGTTGCTGTGGGAGGAGACTGAAGCTCCACCCGCTGAGGTTGGACTTCAGACGGTTTAAGTTCCGTCTGTCAGTGAGCTGGAGTGAGTTTGACACGGTCGTGACTTTGTTCTGCGGCCTCTGTGAAGAGTTCAACAGCTGAAGCGGACAGACGACAGACCTGAAGACAACAGGTGTGAGGTCAGTAAGTGCCGCCATACTGCGCCCTGTAAGGAGCTCTGCTGTTATTTAGGGGTGGGGGTATGGAGACACTGTGTGGCCTCTGAGGCGACTACACTGATCCAGATGATCCATGTGTTTTTCAGCCTGCTGAGGGGACGTTCCTCTGAGTTTATAAACGACCCTCTTCTGTTGTGTTTCAGTAAAGAACTAAGTACATTTACTCAAGCAGATAATGGACTGATACCTAAGTATTTCAGAGGGAAAGGTTATATTCTACTTTTTAATTTTCTACCACTGTATCTGTCTGAAAGCTATAGTTAATCTGCGGATTTTATATAAAATACATATGATCAGTTTATATAGAATGATACATTTTATTTAACTACCCAATAGTGAACAATGTAGTCAAAACCACTGACAGTATATATGATCTTAACAAACATTAAAATACTGCTGTTGTGGAATAATAATAATTACAACCTGATACATATAACAGTAAACAGTCTTAACGGGGCTACTCAACCTAACGAGTACTTTTACTTTTCATACTTTAAGTACATTTTACTGATAATCCTTTAAAACCTTTACTGATGACTGATAACTTTTGTAACAACTGAGGATTTTGCTATTTAAGTACTCCCTCTACCACTGGTTAATGCAAAGAGTTCATTTTAAATGACATAATTTATAGTTTTAAATAATCTTCAAACCAGAGCTCTACTATCTGAAAATATTCACCTGCAACTGTGAAGAGTAACCTGTATCAGTTTATGATTGTTTGCTAACACATGAGTAGTTGATGAATGATGTCCCAGGGTTCACCTTGAACCCTACACCATACTTTACAATGACATTGTTTTGATCCTGCTAGGAAGTAAACAGTGCCAGACCCCTGGCATGTTCGATGGCCACGTTCGGCCTGTGTATCTGAAACACAAGAACATTTATAGTTGGTGTATCAATATTTTTCGAGGAATAAATGTTGAAGAAGTCTTTACTGAGAGCAATTCACTGTGAAAAAGATGAGGAACTTATAGGTAGACCACAGGTATCATAAAAAAATAGCTAGTACAGTATCAAGGAAACTGGATTTATGACAAATTAGTTTCAGTGTGTTTACATGCGGACTAGTGTCCTGGTTTATTGGAACTATCTGCTGCTGACAGAATAAATCTAGTGGCACAATCATGAGGGCTGCATTCATTATCTTTAGTAACTTTTCAAAACAGACAATCTAGCAATCACACTCATTTTACACAGCAACTAGTGAGTAAATGGAGTGGGCGGGGTGTGCACTTCTATCCCAAACTCTCTTTATTCACATATCAATCCCACTTCTGTTTGAGACCTGCAGGGAAATCCTGGATTACATTCAGTGACACATGAACGACATTATTGGTACAGCTCAATATAACTCAGAAGAATCTCTGCAAAACAACATACATAAAGTATTTTGTGATTTTGTGTACATGCGACTGAAGCCACACCGATAGGTTTTTGCACTAAATCTATGGCCATATGTCGGTTCTAAAAACGTGGAGAAAATCTGATCTTTTGGCAGAAATGGAATGTAATATCAATTGGTATGTTTTCATTAGTTTATAATCACATGAAAATTAGAATTGTTGTGTTTCCTTAAAATGAGCTGTCTTTATCTACAGGGTGAGTGGGTACTCCATGATGAAGCCCATGTTACTTTAACATATATAGCCCTCAAAAAGTTTAGTTTAAAGTTCTAAAGTTTATTTAGTGTGAGATTTGTTCGGGTGGTGTGAGAGCGAGAGACAGAGCCTGAAAGTCTGTCTGTTTTTTATCTGTTCTGCTCAGTTCAGGATGGACATGAAGCAGTGTTGTGTGAAGCTGTCGGTGCAACCGTCCAGAGGACTCATGGATGAGAAGTTTATCATCCTGGTTCAGAACGCTCCACCTGGTTTCCAGCTGACTGTTCACGCCCTCCACAAGTGTGAAGATGGACACAGCTGGGAGGCGTTTGGTCACTATACTGCCAACGCCACAGGGACTGTGAATGGTACATGGTTCAATGCCTGGACCTTGAAAATCCAGGAACATTCATTTAGAACTATTTTCAGATATAGAAAAGTTTGAGAATTGCAGATAATACACTATCATGAGCATCCAAATAAAAAATATTTTTCATCCCTTTTACTTTACAGTCTCAGAGGATCCCAGTCTGGGTGGGACATATTCTGGGGTTGAACCGATGGGTCTACTGTGGAGCCTCAGACCAGTTCCAGGCAGCAAACCTGGACTCAGGTACGGCAGCAAAGGATGGAGCTGTTCAGATGATACCAGTCAATACTAAACCAATTATCAGTATCAATCATGACTCTTTCCCATCATCCCTCAGGATGAGGAAGATGAATGTTCAGACTCCCATGGAGGTCACAATCTCGGTGTACCAGGGTCACCGGACTGAGGGCTTTGTGGATCAGGTACCGCTGGCTGGTGTGGTGGCGGAGCGCTGGTATATGGCGCCCGGTGTCCGCAGGGTCCCGATCACAGAGGGTGGACTCACTGCGACCCTCTTCCTGCCCTCAGGTAGGACCAGAGGAGAGTCCTATATGTGCACCTGAGGTCTGACATTCTGAGCAACAATCACCAGTAGACTACCATTAACCATGAAAGTTAACCAGTATAGTTGTGTGAAGTGTGAACTGTTTTTGGTGTTTTTAATTGTTTGAAGGACCAGGGCCTTTTCCCGGCCTCTTGGATCTGTGGGGGGGTGGAGGGAAGTTGGTGGAGTACCGGTCAGCGCTGCTGGCCTCCCACGGCATCGCCTCTCTGGCCCTTGACTACCTGACACCCAAAATCACCATGGAAACTGGGAAGATGGTGGACAACCAGTATTTTGAGGTAAAGCATCTAAATTACAAAAAAAGCATAATCATCATTCATTCAAAATACCCCAGAATAATAAAAACTTTGATGTAATGGCCACCAGGGAGCAGCAGAGCTCTACAACAAACTGACAGACACACAGCTCAGACATGTTACCACTTTATGAAGCAGTTGTAGCTAAGATGTTTCTTTCACATGCAGCAGACGTAAAATGGATTTTCAGTTCAGGATTTCACCCGCTGACATATGTTGTATGTAATCAAACCATATCGTCCTTACATAATCATCACAGTAACCCTTTCACTTCACATTGTGATACTGAGTGACAGGAGGCTATGCACTAAGTAAGACTGGAGTTATACATCCAATTAACCTCTATTTCGCCTTGTGTCAATACTAAATGTTTAATTACGAGATATGTTTTACTGAGGAGAAGACTAATGAGTCTAGGGCTGAAGCTAACATTTTCTTCATCGATTAATCTGCCGATTATTTTGTCAGTTAACCAATTCTGTAAAGCCCAAGGTGACTTCTCCAAGATATCCAGTTTACTATCACATAAGACAAGTAGCAGCTTCCCATAAACCAGGAGCTTGAACCAGGTAATTTTAAAATGAAGTATTTGCAACCCAGGAACCTAAACTAAAGCTGAAACTTAGCGTTTAAGCTCTAACTGAGTCTTCCTTCAACTTGTTGTAGTCACTATCAAGAATCTCCACGAGCAGCCAGTCACAAATGTGGTGCCTCCATAGCCTTGACCTTGATCGGACTTCAAATGATCTATTATGTGTAACTTCAAATAACAAAATATAAATTGCACTTCCAAAATTCCCAGCAAAAAATACAGACATTGCGTCACTAGTGCCAGGGTGAAGATCATGAGCTACAACCTGCATACTGGTAATAATCATTTATTTGGGGTGTGAGATAGATTGTCACATTGTGTTAAGATTGTGTTGAGTTACGTAGGTTAAAAGTCTTTGCTGCACACACCTGGAAGTGTGTTATCTGTCTGTGTTTATGTGTCAATAAAAATGGTTCACAGGTTCATTCAACTTCACTCAGACCAGAGACAAGTGTTTAAATGAAATATAACTGGAAGAAGTGTCGTTTGAGAGTCTGACCCAGACCCAGAGTTTTTGTTGGTGTGACCATGATTCATAGTTACTTATTTATTTTATACTGGCCCTTAATGCACTCCTTCACTTCATCTTCTGTCTGAAACAAGCCGTGTTTTTAAGGCCGTGCAGCGTTTCCTTCAGATGTTTCTGTCTTGTAGCTTGCTGGCTCAGCAGTGCAATGACTGCTTAGTGTCGTGTTGTTAATCAAGTTAAAACAACAAAAAAAGCTTGAACGTGTGGGCCATGCTGGGAGAATGGCTGGGGGCGGTGACTATACAGTTTTGACATCCCAACCTTACGGGGGTTCTGACAGCTTGAATACGGGCAGCGTTCTCTGTGGATTGATCGTTTTAATACTTTCATAGTATTTAAATAGCACCTAGACCTGCTTTATAATGGAAAAAGACATGGAAATCTCACTTTCTACAAGATGCGACCTTTAAAATTCACGATTAACCTGTGTAATATAGTCATAACTGTTTCACAGCCCAGCAGTGTCAGCAGTTTTTTCATTGGCTGGAGGTGCAACGATTGTGGCACAGAATATACTTGGACCCAAAAGCATGACAGAGGCAGGCAGAGTAGAATAGAATTCTTAGACATTTTCATCAAAAGCCAGGAGAGGGTCAAAACCAGGAAATCGTACTACATGCATTACTGCAGCCTTCAGGGCAGGAGGGAGTGGCTGGATCTGGATTGACATAATAGTTTTTATGGCAGAGAGAGTGGAACAATAAACAGAATAAATGTTACTATCTGGCATTTCTCGTTTCTCTTGTCTCAAAGGGCTTCATCCAATATTTGACACCCTCTAGCCTTAGAACTTCAGTTCAGATAAGGAAAAGCACCACAAAAAAAGTGCTTTAACAGGAAAACAAAATTTTTTTCAAGGTTTAAGTTAGACAAAGATAACTAAGAATCTCATAACAGGACTGAACAACTTTCACCTGACACTGAGAGAAAAACTGATATTACTCCCAGATTATGGCAGAGCTGGTTTATGGAACTATATTGCTAATTTTAAAAACCCATCAGATTTTAGAAGTTAGTATAGCTGTCAGACATTTTGTGACGTCTAACCCTAAAACCCTCAAAAATTACCAAAATGCAAAACCAGTTACCACCGGGATGTGGACAACAAGAAATGCAAAAAGAGGCTTTGAATGCTTTATCCTCTACAATAGTGTTTTGGAATGCACGTTAATATAAAGCATGAAAATCCACACAAACTCATTTCTTTTCTTCCTATATCACAAAATGATTTCCTGATGCAGACGGCCTATAGAGTCCTCCAGCAGCATCCTCAGGTCCTCGGCAGCAGGATCGCCATGATGGGTCTTTCCCTTGGCACAAGTGTCACCCTCAAAATGGCTGTGTACTCCCAAGTTATGAAGGTAAGACAACAATGGCTGAAAGTTACTTTTATCATCTTGATGTAGCTTATTGTGATTTCTACTATATTGACATTTCTCCCCCCACAATAATGGACTGTTACAGTGGCTTTTCAGTAGCAGCTCAGTTTTATGGCTGCTCATGAAGCTCTAAGCTGATGATCAGAAAATGATAATTGTTAGTGTTTCGCCCTTATTTAAATACATTTCTACTAAATGTAATTTTGTTTGTGTGTGTTTGTATGGTCTCCCAGCTCAGTTGTGCGGTGTGTATTAGTGGGAGTCACGTGCAGCCAATTGACGGATCTTTGGAACAAATACTGGGTTGTTTTAACGAGTAAGTTCTGCCATTAGTTTTGATTTTTTGTTTTAACAACTCAACCACTTCTGATCATTGTTTGACCAATTTGAACACCATTCGAAACATGTGATATCTAGTTTCCAAAGAATGTCTGGGATTTTTTAATAGCATTTGAATGAATATTTGTGGAGATGTAGATGTTAGTTGGTTTTGCATATTTTGAAAAATATAGAGTAACGGACTTCTGAATTTACCATAGGCTGCAGTTAGGCAACCTTTCGTCACACATGAACAAATCCCCTTTTCGCCAATCATGACCAAACTTTATATAATTATATGAAAATGACTATAGAACATGAGTCAAATCAGATATAAACTTATTGCATCTGTGGCGCCCCCCTGTGGCAGAACATCCCTAACAATGTACAACAAACAAACATGTTTTGAAATTTCCTTCATAAATTTGGATAAGCAAGGTCTGTAGATGATCCTGACAGAGTTTGGAACGATTGGCCCAATAGTTTCTGATGAGTTGTCAAAAATAAGTATAGCGTTAGTTCAGACAGGCCATGAAGTCAGGCTCAACTCTCAATTCCAGCTATATCAGCTGATCACAGCTAATCATAAACACACATCCGCTGATGGCTCAGCTGTTTCCTCCTAAGCTTCCTATTGGAAACCATACACAGTGAGACCCTCAAGCATCCAATTTGGCAAATATCATTCAGGGCGCCTCATTTAAGCTGCTTTAAGGGTGTTACATACTCGCCGTTCCCGACCTGTAGCGCGACAATGTGACGTCAAAATGACGTAGATCTCGCTGGCGCGCCAGGATTTAGGCCAGGTCGCGCCAGGTCGTGCACCACTCTATTTTTTTCAGCTGAGCGCGCCAAAGCGGAAACATGAAGATGGACGAGTTCGGGGGCAAGCCTTCCGAGCAAGTGTGCCTCTACAGGCATCTGTACGATCCTTCAATGAAGGAACACAGAGATGCCCAGAGGTGCCAGAATTCATGGCGAGAAATCGCCATGAATGTTGGAAAAGAGGAGGCCATTTGCCGGGAAATTTGTAAGAACCTCCGCGACCTCTTCTTCTTCTAGTGCGTGGAAATAGCAAAGTCGGTAGCCTTTCCTCAGTTGCGACACCTCTGTTCAGGAGAAGACTGCAACTAGTGTCGCGACCACCACGCGCAAGTATAAATAGTTACGGCGCTCCCGTGACGTCACATTGTCGTGCTACAGGTCGGGAACGGCGACTATGTAACAGCCTTTAGCCTGCCTATCTTTGGTGCTTCCTCTACAAGCCGTTCTGCAACCCACCTCCACCCCAGCTCCTCCTTTTATGTTGTATCTAATTAATCAATGTCATTTTCTGATTGCCATTGATGCTTGCTCTGTTCTGTACCCTGGGGGGTCTCTGCTGCCGCTCTCCTTGTCTTAAACTTTTCCATGTATGCACATGGAAGGGCAGGGAGGTGTGCAAATCTGCCCAATCTTCCAAAGTCTGTCTCACCAATAATTCAAGTAAGTAAGATTAAGACTTAAAAAAAATTGTATTGTTCAATCAGAAATGCTTCGAAGACTCGCTTCAATGAGGAGAACCAGGTGATCTGGCGAGATCTGCTGCTCCCCATCCCCACCGACCCCACACTCAAAGTAGACGTGAGTACCACCAGCCACAATTTCTCTCCATAGATATACTTTTGATTCTCAGTTATTTAATTTGTTAATTACAGAACACATTTGTGAATTTCATTTGTGCAAGACTAAAATGTTTTATTAGACATTTTCTTGAACAAAAATAGATGTGAGTTTAATTTCCTTTGAATCAGAAAAGGTGGTTTGCATGGAATTGCATCTGTTCAGAGCAGGGGTCCCAATGTGGTAGCCTATGAGCAGCCTATGGGGTGGCTACAGAGCATGTTCTCTAATCTCAGTCTTAATCTTAAATACTTTTTTTCATAACACTTGCAAGGAAATGTACAAATGTGTTCCTTTGTTTTTTAACTACTAAATCCATTACATTGAGATTAGTCTTTCCATGTTCTGAGTTGAAACCATGTCATAAATGATGCCACAGGTAATGTTAGGTAATGCTTAAAATTGAAAAAAATTGTGAAAAATAAAAATAAAATTACACCCAAAATCTGAATCTGCAGCCTGTGATAAAAGCTGAAAAATACTGCTTTTTTTTTTCTTGAAGGGGGGGGGGAACCCCAGGGTCCTCTTTTGCTGGTTGTAGGTGAGGAGGAAAAAAAAGGGCCCCCTAAGGAGGTTGAAAGGGACGTGAGTTTTTTTAAAAAGAAAAAACTTTGTGTAAAAAAAAAAATTGGTTTTTTTTTTTTAAAACAAAAAAAAAAAAAAAAAAAAAAAAAAAAGAAAAAAAAAAAGGTATGATAAAAGAATTTAATTAAAAAAAAAAAAAAATATTTGAAAAAAAACCAAAAAAATGATAAGTTGTGAAGAAAAAAAAAAAAAAAAAAAAAATTTAAAATTTAAGAAAAATATTTATAATAATAAAATAAAAAAAGAAAAGAAGGAAATATTTTTAATTTTATTAAATTTAATTATTTATTTCTTTTTTTTAATATTTTTATTAAATATTTTTTTAATTTTTAATATTATATTAAAAAAATAAGTTTTTTTTTGGGTTTTTTATTTAAATTTTAAAAAAAAAAAAAAAAAAAAAAAAAAAAAAAAAAAAAAAAAAAAAAAAAAAAAAAAAAAAACAAAAACAAGAGGTGGAAATACAAATAAATAAATAAACCCTCTGAGAAATATGAGATGAAGTATTTTATTTCCTGTTTTCCAGATGAAAGAAATGATGGAGCGGGCGGGGAATAGCCACCTGCTGACCGTCCTGGCATATCCGAACGTCGGTCACCTGATTGAACCTCCGTACACGCCGCATGCCCGAGCAAGCACCTTCAAAACAGTCGGCACCGGTCAGAAGTGTAAGTTTACCTTCAGACTGTGAAGCTGTATGCAGAGACAGGACTGAATTATTTGATGTCAAAATCGGACTTCAGGCTTGAGTTTTGACGGCTGTTTCGGCTTCCTGTTGTCTTTGCAGTGATGGCTCTGTGGGGCGGGGAGACTGTGGCACATTCCCGTGCTCAGGAAGATGCCTGGAGGAAGACGCTGGTGTTTCTGAGGGAGAATCTGTACGGTGGCATGAACCCTGTCGCAACTTCATTTTCCCACCTGTAATCAAGGCAACGGCTAATGATTATAGACACTCAGGAAGTAAAAGTCTCATTAATTTTTACCCATAGACAATGTTATGTGACTCACAGATGGAGCACTAGTTTATCTTTGATGGACATGAATGAAGTAATGTTCCTGGTTGAATCATTAGTACAAAAGATGAATAACTGTGTTATAAGAATTATCTTATAATAATGCTAATAAAGTTTTTTTATAGAACACTTCCCAAAGTGCAAAGTAAACAAATCTGAATACACACATACTGCAAAATACACAAGCAGACAAATTTACAGAATTTAATACAGTTATGAAAAATCTTTCTAGTAAAATGTGAAAAATGTAAATGTTAAAACAGGTGGTAAGATACTGATTTTGGAAGTTTGTTTTAGAGTTGAGGTGCAGCTGTCCCTTATAATCTTACACCTTCACATGGCTGAAAGATCCCTACCTGACAACCTCCGACTCTGCAAGCTGATAAGGGTGCAGAAATACAGTGACATTAATCTGGAGCCATGGCGAGTTAAAAAGTAACTGGGAGTCAATGTAAAGACATTGAGAGTAATAGGATTGTTGTGTAGCCGCTGCATTCTGTACAATTTGGAGGATTGCATTTCAGAATTAAGGTAGGTAGGTTAAGAGACCGTGGTGTTGTTTGAAAAGTGTGGATTTTAATTCTCTGTGCATATTGTCTGTGCCAATCATAAGGATTTCTGTTTTATTGGAATTTAGTTGTATTTTTAAGTTGTATAAGTTTAATTAATTGATTAGTCATTCAGTGTCAAACAAAACTCCAAAGTGATGTCTTCAGATTTATTGTTTAGTCCCACAGACAGTAGTAGTATTATATTAGTATATTAGTTTACAATGATACAAAACAGAAAAGCATTGAATCCGTACACTGGAAAAGCTGACACTAGAGAATAGTTGGAGGGTTTGATTGGTAAATAACTTATATGAAACGGTGCTTGTTAAATGCCACTAAAGAACATTAACAAAAAAACGATTCCTGCTGCTTTAGATAAAGAATACACAATAAAGGAGACTACAATAGCAACCCCGTCTGCCACAGTAATGTCACACTGACCTACAAGCTCAACACTTTCTATGCTCGGCAACATTGTGATGAATGCAAGAAACCCAAAGGATGACTAGGTTCCCACACTGAGCGCGTGCAGCAGAGGGTCAGTTCACACAAAGCTGCAGGCCCTGGGTGGAGTTCTGGGAAGAAAATAAGGACTGTGCCAAACCGCTAGCTGAGGTATTTACAAGAATTTTCAACCTGTCTCTCTTTTTGGCAACGTTCCCCAAGTGCCTGGAGTCAGCCATCACAGTGCAAGTGCAAAAAAAACCCAAACAGCAGTCCAGTCACCCTCACATTAACATGATAAAGTTCTATTCATTATGAAAAACCAGTCTTCTCCCACATCAAAGCCACTATCCTCACTTCTCTGGACCCCTGTGCACTGAGGCCCATCCTCTTCTCCCTCTTCACACACTACTGTGTTCCTGCATTTTCCACTTGTTACAGCACAATTGTTAAGTTTGCAGATTACACAGTGGTGATCGGGCTGATCTCCAACAGCGATCAATAAGACTGCAGATTACTGAACCTGATGAGATGGTGCTCTTAGTACAAGTACTGCAAACAACAAGGAGCTAATCATCAATTTCAGATGATCATGGACTGGCGAGTAGGCTGCAGTCTTCATCAACCGAAACAGGGGAGATAGTGTCCAGCTTCAGATTTCTGGGCATCTCAGAGGACCTGGAAAGCTGGTCTACCCCAACAGCTGCTGGTGACCTTCTACTGCAGCACCACCACAGGGAGCACCCTAATATATTAAATCTGGGTCTGGCAGCAGCTGATAGGAAAGCTCCTCAGTGGGTCATCTCCAGCCCACAGAAGATGAACATCTGTATCCCACACTGCCTCAAAAAAGCTACCAGCATCTGTAAGGAATCCATACACGCATGCCATCATCTGTTTGAACACCTTTCATCTGGCAGACTTTATACGGCCTTCTGCACACGCACCTCCAGAGAGAGACAGAAAGCTTCCTCCCCAGAGCCATAACTGTTAAATCAATTTATACTGGTTGTTACTTTATTAATGCTATTCAATGATATTTATTGTTTTATTTCTATCCTGTTTTTATCGCATCGAGTACAGAAGCTGCAAATTTAATATTGTTGTGTGTGTGTACACTGACAATAATAATATTCTATACCAGACTTTTAACTTTTTATTCCGCATGTTGTCTCATTCCCAAAAAAAGCTGGCAGCCTGCATCTCATCTAGGCCAGTGGTTCCCAGTCTTATTCCTTAAGGGACCACGTGTCTATCATTTAGTAAACTGACGACCCCTGGCTATATTTTATTAATTTATTTTATTTCGATGTATTTCATATTATATTCAAAGCGATACAATGAATTAGATTATTTCCTGTTAAGAGAACTTTTTAAACAATTCTCTGTCTGCATTATGTATTAGCAATAATATACTTCTACTACATATAGGCTTCTTTTTTGACAAATTCAATGTTTTCTTGTCCCTGGTGCTTGGCCATTGTTCTATTAGACAATTGACTTTACATTTACTTTTCTTCACAGAAGTGAACCAAATGATAAAGGCCTACTGTGTATATTCTTTAAGTTTTCTTACATCCCTTAAAATCAAGAAAGCTTTGCGACCCCCCATGAAACTTTGATAAGCCGTAGTGGTGGGCCCCTAACCTCCAGGTTGGTAACCAATAAAAACTTTAGTAAAGGTTCTACCTTTCAAGATGTTGACCACCAGACAGATCTTGAATTCTATAGAGAAACGGGAGTGGTTCACTTACCTAGCTCTAAAAGACACATACTTTCATATACCCACCTGCCCAGACCACAGACCTATCAGTTCAAGGTATTCTCATTTGGCCCTTCCCCCTCACAAAGAGTGTTCACCTGGGTGGTTACAGCTGTCCTCTATGTGACGGAGGCTTCTGGCTCTGCTCCTGTCCTCACAGTCATGTTGCGCAGGCATATTACACAGTCCACTCCAGGAAATAATGAGACACCTAATTGTCTTGCCTAAATATATTTTCAATGCTTTTTAATTGCAATGCAAGTAAATACATCCAGGTGTCAGGTGTGGTCAGAAATCATTATGCTACTCTAAGCTTTGGTGACTCAGTGGTGCCTCTTGTGTTTAGATAGAGTGTTGTTGTTGTAGGAGGAGACTGAAGGTCCACCCAGACAGATCTTTGTATAAACCTCAGATGTTGATCAGTGTTTCATACACATGGAAGTGTAAGTCACCAAACCTGAAGAAGACAGCTGTGAGGTCTGCTTCTGTTCCCAGTCTGCTTCTATAGTAAGTGTTTAGAAGTGGTTGTTTTTGATTGTATTTACTGTCATTTTACAATCTATTTTTAGTTAATAGTTAGAATAACCAACAACTTAGTTTGGCAAAGGAGCAGATTCTGTAGCAGGTCTTTTTCAAACACTAACTAACTAACTAAGTGTAGTCACACTCACAGCTGAATGAAGCACCTTTGATTAAAGGTCCAGTGTGTAACAGTTGGACGGCTCTACTGAAAGAAATGGAATATAAAACTAATAGGCATGTTTTCATTAGTGTATAATCACCTGAATGTAGGGATCATTATGTTTTTGTTACCTAAGAATGAGCCATTTTAATCTATAGACACTGTGGGTCCTCTACCGTTGTCATTTATACAGTAGCCCAGTACAGACACACTTAACACTTATTCTAGAACGGGCCTTTTGCCTTTCACGACCACCGTAGTTTCTCCTACACACTTCACAACCCGTTCTCATTCCCAGGTCGTCAAATACAGATGCAAGCAGTGTTTAGTTAGTTGCAATCTGAAACTTCACCGGAATATGCCACTTAATCCTACATACTAGTCATTGAAAGTGTAGGGTATAAATACAACAAACCTTCCTCTCTCTCGAAAAAGGAACCTTTTGTAATCATGGTTTTGTATCAGCAACAGTTCCTGTAAATATACACTTTACAATCAAATTAACACTACTATCTACCATTTTATAGACATGGAAAGGGTATATTTGACCCTAAATACGTAACCTAAATGTAACCCTGTTAATGTCTTAATGACAATATCAAATGACTATTTTACCCCCTTCGGAACAGGTAAGTGTGCAGCACAAGTTACAATGGTGATCTAACCAATAAGAGAGTCACCTTCGTCACATTGAAAACTCAACCTCGCTTACCCATTAATCTAGTTTACACCCCTCTGGTCTCTTTGAAAGACTACATAAACTGGTGGCTATCAGCCAGTCTTTGTCTCTCCTCTGGGTTCCACACTGTTTGGTTTTGTTGTTTGTCTTCATTTAATTTCCATTTTAGTTGGTGGGAAATAAAATGTAGCCACTGAATTGGGATATGTGTAATCAACACATAATAATAATACATATAAATTCATTTAATTTAAAGTTTATTTTTTATTTTTACAAATAGTAAAAAAGAAGCTCTGCTCCAATGCACTTGCATTGGGAGGGTGGACACTGTTAGATACAGAATGGCGGCAAAATACCCAGAAACTCCTGAAGGATGAAAGAAATGGTGCCAAAAGTCTGTCGAATAGAATTAGGAAAGATGGACCTTAACCTAGGGCCTAAAACATGAGCGTGCAATGGGATAAAAGCAAAGACAAACTTGAGTTAAGAGTAGTTACTTGACAGACCAGCAATATCACAGTAAATCTATATTGCGTTGAACTCTATTCAAATGTTTTATTGAAGAAGAATTCAGCATGTGTGAGGGGACCTGAAGACATCTGGCCCAGCTTAACGTTTCCCCCCACATTCTGCTTAAATAAACTTAAACTACAACTCATGTGTGGTCTCCCATGCTTTGTTCAGCCTTGAGCCTGGTTGTGACACAAGCTACAATAAAAATGAGTCATTAATAGAAACAATCAATCATAGAGGGCATTAAAACACTGTGTTTTGGCCTGGTGTTAAATGAATATTTAAACTTCAGGGTGACATTGCATTATTAAATGGTACCTTGGTAATCTGCACATTGCGCAACTATCTTAGTCTTTCTAGAACTTGGTCTCAGTCAGGCTGCTGTTCATTCAGTTAACTGTAGGTCTTGTTAGAGTCCTTGCTGCCACTTGTGTTTGAATTAACAAGAAATGATGACTTTAGACTTTATGTCTTTAGGAAGCCATTCAGAGTAGAGTCTGGTCAGTTTCTGTTCTACTCAGTTCAGGATGGACATGAAGCAGTGTTGTGTGAAGCTGTCGGTCCAGCCGTCCAAAGGACTTGCGGATGAGAAGTTTCTTGTCCTGGTCCAGAAAGTCCCACCTGGTTTCCAGCTGACTGTTCACGCCCTCCACAAGAATGAAGATGGACACAGCTGGGAGGCGTTTGGTCACTACACTGCCAATGCCATTGGGACCGTGAACGGTACATGGTTCAATGCCTGGACCTTGAAAATCCAGAAAATAATATTTAGAAATGTTTGCAGGTATACGACATTTTGTGAATTTTGAATACACTATCATGAGCATCCAAATAAAAATAATTTTTCATCCCTTTTACTTTACAGTCTCAGAGGATCCCAGTCTGGGTGGGACATATTCTGGGGTTGAACTGATGGGTCTACTGTGGAGCCTCAGACCAGTTCCAGGCAGTAAACCTGGACTCAGGTACGGCAGCAAAGGATGGAGAATTTCAGATGATACCAGTCAATACTAAATCAGTCATCAGTATCAGAATCGACTCTTTTCCATCATCCCACAGGATGAGGAAGAAAGAAAATGTCCAGACTCCCATGGAGGTCACAATCTCGGTGTACCAGGGTTACCGGACTCAGGGCTTCGTAGATCAGGTGCCGCTGGCTGGTGTGGTGGTGGAGCGCTGGTATATGGCGCCCGGTGTCCGCAGGGTTCCGATCACAGAGGGTGGACTCACTGCTACCCTCTTCCTGCCCTCAGGTAGGACCAGAGGACAGTCTGGAGGAAAGTGTTCTGTGGCTGGAGCTCAGGTGTGACATTCTGAGCAACAATGATCAATGGACATTTACCATTACTGCTAACCAAGTTCAGCATAAGTTAGTTAGCCAATAACCAAGTGAAAAATGAAGACAGGAAACACTAAGACGTAATCCCAAAATTGTAGGAACATTAGTATACACACTGAACAGTTTTTGCTTTTTTCACTTCTTTAAAGGACCAGGATCTTTTCCTGGTCTCTTGGATCTGTCGGGGGGTGAAGAGAAGTTGATGGAGTACCGTGCAGCACTGCTGGCCTCCCACGGCATTGCTTCCCTGGCCCTTGACTACCTGACACCGAAGATCACCATGGAAACTGGGAAGATGGTGGACAACCAGTATTTTGAGGTAAGCCAAATTAATGTCTAAGTTACAATAAATCAAATCAATGTTCATTCTGAAACCCCCCAAATAACTAAAAGATTTAGTAAACTAAAGAGCAACAGAACTCCGCACAATCATGCAATTACCGTTGTATTCATGTTCATTCAAGTCCCCAAAAGGAAATATTTTTTATCTAGCTAATTTATTATAAATTCACATGCATCTCTACCGGCTTCAGATGCACACAGCCGTCATTAAAGGAGAGAACTCAGCTTATCAAGTTTTATTTTCACCTTGGAATGTCATACCATGAAATTCTTACTGCTCTTGCTGAAATCTAAATGTCCGCCAGATTTTGTTTTGTTTAGAGGGGCATGGACACTTCAGTAAAATGGGCGAATAACAGAAAGCTATCTTTCTCAACTATCTTATCAACCAGCTCACCTACCAATAACATAGCAAATTGACTTCTTAAATAAATCAATGAACACAGCAATGTTTCAAACATAGTGGGGAAATCAGCAAACATATGCCTATAAAGCCATAAGATAATAACTTGTGCACACAAGATAGTATTCACTCTTAAGATATGAGAGAATGTAATATTAACTCTTAAAATAAGAATCTTCACAAGCAGCCAAAGGTATGAGATGTTAACAAGTTCTAACGGATCCAAGGACTTCAAATAAAACTATGATGAATATACAATAAAATGTGAGGACTGTTTTAGCTTTTAAAGCCATTTTACCCTTGAGCAAAGTCGCCTGCAGCTTTCATTAGGGACCGAGCCAACGACCGCTGGAGGTCCCTATTGTTTTTGCTCGATTTCTTCTTACCTATTATTATTTTTAGCCCCCTTTGACTGCATTTTTGCCCCCCTGAACATATACGAAAACTCAATTTTATTTGGCAAAGTTGTCAGGCCTGGTGAAAATGGGGATATTCTATGTGTCGCTTTGGGATTGGCCACTAGGAGGCGCTACTATCATAAAAAATGCGTTTAGGCTAATAACTTCTGCATAGTTTGTCGCATATTCATAAACCTTGTATCCACACGTTTGGTGAATAGAGCTGAATCTCCCCATATAGGCCACGCCCACTGCCGCGCGAAATGTCCGTAAACTACTTTTCCTTTTTTCCCCCCATGCACTTTGTCCGATTCGCACAAAATTTTTCACGTAGCATCTGAGGACCCTCATAATAAAAAAGTGATTAAAAGAACTTTGATATTTTGAAAAACCAGCATGTTATAAAATTAGCACTTCCTGTGGATTTTTCGTCAAAAAAGGAAGTGGACCATTTCTTCACATTGGTATGTCCGATTGACACCAAACTTGGGTCCATAGTTCCACATGTCTTCCTTAAGCATTGTGCACAATTTCAGGCCATCGCCACAAGGTGGCGCTCTTTAAAATGAAGAAGTTTATATCTCTACAACGGTATGTGTGATTAAGATGAAACTTGGTACGATGCTTCCCCATGGCTCCCTGAGGCTCACTAAAAAATGTGTCAACAATCCGCCACTAGGTGGCGCTCTGGTGGCATGGTAAATCACTGTGCGGAGACCGTAATAGTTATGAACATGAAATTCACAGGGCACGTGTAGACTGGTGCCTGAAGGTCACATACCAAAAATCATGTTTGTCGTGTTTGTAGCGCCCCCTACAGGATAAAAAAACAGCAGCCCCAGCGCCACGTTTCACCGATATGTACGAAACTTGGTAGACACGTGTAACATGCCGGGACATACAAAAAAGCCTCTTGGACCCATACACGAAGCCCCACAGGAAGTCGGCCATTTTCATTTTCATTTTGAACTTTTCACGTTGTATTTGAACAAACTCCTCCTAGGGAATTTACCGGATCTGCTTCAAAATTTGTGAGTACAATCAAAAAATGGTTCTGATTAAAAGTTGTGCTATTTGTGCATGTATGTTGAAGGGCATGTCCGTGGCGTGCCCTCAAAGTTGGCCATAGTGAATTCCGTGCGCATTTTCGGTGAATTTTTCGTGTTGTATTTGAACAAACTTCTCCTAGGGAATTTATCAGATCTACTTCAAAATTGGTCAGTACAGTCAAAAAATGGTCCTGATTAAAAGTTGTGCTATTTGTGCTTGTACGTTCAAGGGCGTGTCCGTGGCGTGCTGTCAAAGTTGGCCATTTTGAATTCTGTGGTCATACAAACTGATTGAAAAGTTGAGCTGTTTGTGACTGTACATCAAACCGCATGCCAGTGACAACTTGTCGATTTCAGCAGATTCACCATAAAAATAGTGCTCATAACTTCAGTGTACGTGGTCCAATCTCAATGAAACTTTACATGTTTGATAACACTCTCGCCTTGAACATGTCTACATGACAACATTCAGACATAGTGATAGCGCCACCTACTGGCAACAGGAAGTAAGCGCTGCGTGGCGATTTTGAGCTGAGTTATGTGAAATGACCGTGTTGGTGACGACTTGTCGAATTCAGCCGATTCGCCATAAAACAGCACTCATAACTTCAGTGTGCAATGTCCAATCTCCAATAAACTTCATATATTCTGTAACAGTCTCGCCCTGAACACATCCTCATAACTGCAGCATATGTGGTCCAATCTCAATGAAACTTGACGTGTGTTATAACAGTCCCGCCCTGAACTTGTCTACATGACAATATTAAGACATAGTGATAGCGCCACCTACTGGCAACAGGAAGTAAGCGTTGTGTGGCAATTTTGAGCTGATTTACATGAAATTTCATGTTTTGGTCCGCATGTGTAACGATGGCACGTGACGAGGCCGCAGCACGCCCCAAGTTGTGTGGAGTGCGAGGTCCCGCTCAACGCTGCTTGCAGCTTTAATTTTATATTGACTTTGTTCAGTTTAATATTAATATTCAGGCCTCTTCGCCTGAGCAAAGAGTTGTTCTGACAGATGGTATTTGATATGTAGTGACATAAGCTTACATGATTAGCTTTTTCTGTTCTGGGGGGAATTGTCTTTTGGACATCTCACAAATACAGGCTTGGATTGTTTTATATATTTTAAATGATATAATGGTATTATTTCATTTAATGACATTAAAACTGGATTTATGCTTTACACAAGGGGTTAATAGGAGTCAAGGTGTAGGTTTCCATTTTTAGTTCAGTGTCAGATTGTTTTGGAGAGAGAGAGAGAGAGAGAGAGAGAGAGAGAGAGAGAGAGAGACCTTAACTTTCAATCCTCCTTTATGAAAACATGCCTACAAATAAAACTTTGTGCGACAGTTTAAACTGTTTAGTTCCCCTCAAACAACAAACCATCCCATCTACACTCCACATCGTCCAAAATGTATACAGGTCACTTACAAACTAAGCCCTAATGCATGCAGAGACCAGCCCTTTAAACAGTAACTCAGGGTCCACCAGTCCTGAACCCTGCAACCTGTTACACCTTTTGGGCCAAGTAGCAAGTGTAGCCTGACTAAGGATCCCCCAACCTCCTCGATATGACGAGAGCTCCATGGTAGTATGTTGCTTAAGATTTCAGATTTGAGTCACAGACATTTTGTGACATCTAACACTGAATATCACATAAAATGACTAAAGTGAAAACCAGTTATCACCAGGGTGTAAACAACAAGAAAAGCAGAAAGAGGCACAATTTTATTAATAGTGGGGTTATGCTTTTATCCTAAAGCATACAATCCACACAAACTAAAACTAGTTCATTTTATTCCTATATCACAAAATGTTACAGCTTTGACAGTTTGTTTTCTGACATGTTTTCCTGATGCAGACGGCCTATCGAGTCCTGCAGCAGCACCCTCAGGTCCTCGGCAGCAGGATTGCCATGTTGGGCCTATCACTTGGCACCAGTTTCACCCTCAAAATGGCTGTGTACTCCCAAGTTGTAAAGGTAAGACAACTATGACTGAAAGTTACTTTCATCATCTTGATGCAACTCAGTGTAGCTGCATGACTTTAATGAAGGTCTGTTGAAGCTTACAGAGCTTCAGGTAAGTACGTGGTCTAAGCTCTAAACTGATGATCAGGTAATTGATAGTGTTTCCCCATAAAAAAGTTTTTTAATACATTGCTACTTCCTCATGTTGTGCAGTTTTTCTGTTCTGCGTCACTTATTGGATCTCACTTGTATTAACAGGAATTCTGATCGTGTGTGTGTGTTTGTGTGTGTGTGTGTGTGTGGTCTCTCAGCTCAGGTGTGCGGTGTGTATAAATGGGACTCATGTGCAACCCATTGATGGATCTGTGCAAGAATTACTGGGTTTCTGCCGCGAGTAAGTTGATCTGCTGCTAGTTATGACTTTTCATCTTACTTTTTCTACTGCATGTATATAGTATATACTGTATGTGTATTAATATACAGAAACAGTGGTAAAACTCGTTTCAATGAGGAGAACCAGGTGATTTTTAGAGATCTACTGCTGCCCATCCCCACCGACCCTGCCCTCAAAGTGAATGTGAGTACCACCGGCCAGAATTTATTTCTCTCTTCGTTATACAGTTTTTCACTTTTGTTTTTTTTAAGTTGTTTGGTTTTTATTAAGTCTCAAATATTTATTTGATAGTAGAGTATTTTCAGCAGAATGAACCTGGACCCGTATCCTAATGCAGCCCTACAAAGTCTGCAATTTTTCAGCCCGAGCCTTGACTTAAGACTGAGTCTGAAACCAGTGTGACTTCACGTTTTTTGTGACGTGCACACTCTCAAAAACCTGAAATCATAATTTTCGGGTTGATTATGGCAAAACAAAATTGGTTTTCTTGTGACAACTCATCCAGTTATCTTGAGAAATCTGCCTTTTGTATTGCGAGATAAAAAGATCGATTAACTTGTGAACTTGAGATAACAGCATTAAAGAAATAATTGCAACTATGGCTGTTCTTGGCTTCTGTAAATGTGGGTATTTTTAGATTTCTTTATTTTCAAGTTTACAAAAAATTTGAAACATTTCCAAAGGACACAGGTAATTGCAACTCATTCCACAGGTAATGCTTAAAAATCTGAATCTGCAGTCTGTGATAAAAGCTGAAATGCTGCTGCTGTTTGTCTCTGAGCAGGTGGGGCGACTCCAGTGTCCTCTGTTGCTGGTTGTAGGTGAGGACGATCAGAACTGGCCCACCTACGAGTCTGCAATGGACGTGAGTATACTGACATGACAACATCTTGTGTGACTAACAAGCTTGGTCTTGAAATCACAAGAATAAACTTTACTGATCACTGAGAGGAAACTGAATAGTTACTGGGATATATGGCATTCCAACATGGCCAATATTAAATACAAAAACAAGACAATAAAAATAAGTTATAGAGCACTATATGTAATTGAATCTGTTTTCCAGATGAAGGAAATGATGGAGCAGGCAGGGAATAGCCACTTGCTGACTGTCCTGTCATATCCGAACGCCGGCCATTTGATTGAACCTCCGTACATGCCACTCTCCCGAGCAAGCACCTTCAGATCAGTTGGCTTACATAAGAGTGGTAGGTTCACCTTCAGACTGGAAAGCTGTAGACAGTGAAAGGAACTCTCTGAATGATTAGAGCTTAAGATGTCAAAACTGCACTTTCGGCTTGAGTTTTGAGGCCTGTTTCGGTTGTCTTTGCAGTGATGGCTCTGTGGGGCGGAGAGACTGTGGCACATTCTCGTGCACAGGAAGACGCCTGGAGGAAGACGCTGGTGTTTCTGAGGGAGAATCTGTACGGTGGCAGGAACCCTGTCGCAACTTTATTTTCCAATCTGTAATCAAGGCATAAACTTATGATTAAATGAAAAAAGTCCTAGTCATTTCCCCCATAGACAATGTTACATGAGCACTTAGTATAGATTGAAAGATTGTGATATTTTCCTGGTTGAATCATCAGTAGAAAAGACCAACCTGCATCCACATGTACACTAATCTGCCCAACTGAAATGGGTATGAAAAAGTTTTTAAATAAAATTAAGTTTTCAGAAGTGATTTAAAAAGAGATACTGATTTTGTGATTTTTGTGAGGCAGACTGTGTGCAAGTTGATAAGGGCATAGTAATACAGCGATATAATATGGAGCCATGACAAGCTTTAAAAAATAATGTAATCAAGGTGATTCTGTAATAAACTGGGAGTCAATATAAAGACATTGAGAAAACTAGTTTTTTTTGTTAGATGTGTAGCTGCTGCATTCAATATGGACTGTGAATTTTTTTTATTCCAGCCAGTTAGGAGACCAGTACAATCATCTAATAATCTACATAAGGAAATGAGAGCATGTAAGATGGATTTGATGTATTGAGGTTCTGAAATGAACAGATTTGTAAAGATGAATAAACCTACTGCACAATAGACCTTTTTCACAGCAGATTTTTTACAAAGCAAGGTGTTCAAAACTAAGAGCCAGGTCTTTGATCAGGCGACACCCAGGTGTTTCCCGTCATACCCTGGGTCTAGCAGACGGTGGAGAGCAAAAGCAGCGCCTGTCTCAAAAATCTCATCAGGTTAAGTCATGTTCTGCTTTTCAAATTAACATGTTGTTCGGTTTATACAGTACATAACATTTTACTTGGGTTTGAACATTTAGGGGAAACTTTTATGAAATGCTGGATCGTGCTTCTTTCAGGCAACAGGGACAAAAGGACACAGGTATTGTTGAAATACATTCGAGTGACTATCCTTTTACGACTAGCTGATTTTATTGAACTGATTCCAGCTCTCCTCAACATCCATCCCTCTGTCCACATTGTGATCAAATGATGTCATGTCCAGGCAATCCATCATGTTTCAGCATGAACTTGAGTTTCTGGCCTCAATTGTAGAAAGCCTGGTAAGGTGATGTTTTCCTGTCTGGTCCCATTCCACTTAGTCTACACCTAGGGATGCAAAGTTTTACCAATGCCACTGGACTTGGTTTTATTTGTTTGTGGTAATTTCAACTCCTTTAGGACAAACTGGGACCTTTTTAAATAAGATGGGCTGCATCCTAACAGGAAAGGAACAGGAAACGGATCTGGAATTTTATTAACTGTGGCTGACAGTGCGGGTCCTGCTGGTGCTGGACCTGGTTGCATCTCAGGTTGTGGATGTGGACTGGCTGTAATTCATAGGGAGAATTTTAAATGTTCCTTGTCTTCACTTGGTAACTTCTCGTCATTTGAATCACTTGGCTGTATCATCCTAGACATTGTCCTGTCCTCTGGTTTTACTCTTGATAATGTTGATCTCTGTCAGACTATGTGTGTCAGACCACAAATACATTATTTTAAAGTCCAACCTCCCACCTCCTTATTCTACGGCGGCTACTTATGTCTCTAACCGGGTACTCACTACTAAGTCTGCTAAAATATTTCAAAATGTCTTTACCGCTGCACCTATACATAACAATAACTAAAAAACATATATGTCTACAGTAGAATTACTAACTGACTTCAACAATACATGTAAAAGCTGCTCTTGACTCCATAGCACCACTAAAAATCTGTAAGGTCAAATCAAACCACAGCATATCTTGGATAGATAGAAATATCAAAGGAAAGGCAGATGAGCGGAAGTATAAAAAGGCTGTCTAGTGGTCTCACATCAAATCATGAAAGAACTAATTTCAACCAAAAAGCAGTATGAGATGGCAGATTGTCCTATTATTACAACAAGCCTATAATCCCAGAATTCTCTTAAAAAACATCAATGCTGTAACCAACCCCCTCTCTAATCAACCCACTGAAGCCACCTCTACAATCTGTGAGCAATATTTGTCCTTCATCACCAAAGTAAACGAAATAAAACTCCAGATTGGTCTTGCCACTGATGACCTGCTCTCTCCACACTGCAATTCCTCTGCCTCTGCCTCACTCAACAGCTCTCAGCCCCTCACACTGTGCACTTTAAAGGACACAATGGCCAAATTAAAGCCTACATCGAGTCCTTTAGATGTGACGCCTGTCAGACTTCTGAAGAAGGTTTTTAACAGTGTTGTTGGCTCAATTTTAGCAATTGTAAATAGCTCTCTGTCTACGAGTTGTGTTTCCTTCTTCCTCAAGCACGCCATAGTGCACGCTTGTTAAGAAACCACCCTTGATTATTTCCAATTTAATAATTTTAGAGAGGATTGTCTATTTACAACTGATTTCCTTTATGAATGCTAATGAAATCTTTGACAATCACGTTTCCGAGCTGGTCATAGCACTGAATCTGCGCTTATCAAAGTAACGAATTAGCTTTAAGCTGTGGATCACTCTATCCTTTTGGATCAACTGGAAAAGTGGCTCTGCATCAGGGATACTGCCCAAAAATGTTTTTTATCATATTAATCTAGCAGGACTTTCTCAGTGGTTATGGGTGATGCCTCCTCTTCTGTGGCCCCTCTGACCTGTGGTGTTCCCCAAGGGTCCATCCTTGGCCCGTTATTGTTCTCTGTATACATGCTGTCACTGGGGCACATCATAACCAAGCACAATATTCAGTACCACTGTTATGCATATGAGACACAAATTTACGCCTCCCTTTAAAAACCAGTGAAGAATTACATTTTAATCATCTTTTATCCTGTCTATCAGAAATAAAGTGCTGGATGTCCCAAAATCTCCAAAAACTCCAACTTAACGAAAATAAATCAGAGATAATTCTCTTTGGTCCCCCAAGGTCCATCCCTGTTTTACAGAAAAATCTTGGATCCTTGTTTTCAAATATAAAACCTGCAGCCATAAACCTGGGCGTAATTTTTCACAGTGAACTCAACTTTGAGAAGCAAATTGTAAATGTTGTTAAAGCATGTTTTTGTCAACTCAGGAGCATCTCAAATATCAGGTCCTTTCTCTCTCTGATCTGATCTTGAAAAGATCATCTATGCCCTTATTTCTTCATGATTAGACAATTTGTTTAATTCTTTGTATTCAGGGTTAAGCCATAAAGCTGTCTCGCACCTCTAGCTGGTACAGAATGCAGCTGCTCAGCTTTAAACTAACACAAGAAGACAGGATCATATCAGCGCTATTTCAGCCTCTTCACTGGTTTCCAGTCAGTTTTAGAATTAAATTTTAGATTTTACTGATCACCTATAAAGCACTTCACAGTTAAGCTCCCACCTACATTGCTGAATTGCTGCACCCCTATGAGCTAAATTAAAAAAAAAATTTCTGTGTACATTTGGCAGAGGTCTCTGGCTTGAGGACACTGTTGGTATTGTTATCTTATAGGAAGGCCACTGCAAGGTTCAAGACTAAAAGAGAGCACAATATTTTTGAAAATATTTCCATCACTAACATCATATTTAACCAAAAATGTGAACAGCAATTTCTATACAGGTTTATATCATCTTTGAATTGGATTAAATATAATTTTGTTTTTCTTTAAACTGTAGGTTATATGAAGGGGTTTCAATTTGTATGAAAAGACTAGAAACAAATATTTCAAAAAGAGAATGATCTTATGATTTTATGGCATATGATGATTATTTTAAGATAGACTTGAAAACAATCCGAGAATCCTTAAATTAAATCAGTTTAGAGAAAGCATTGAGGATTGTAGAAAAGTGTGATGGGAGCGTAAACTCATGTAGTTGCGTTTTCTTGTCCGCTGGGTGGCGTCCTGTCTCCATCTCTGCTGCTTTAACCCTGAGCAGCTCCTCTGTCTCTGACAGGCTGTATGATTAAGCTCATTAACTTCATCTTTAACTGCACGAGCGAAACGCACGCTCTCCCTTTTGGGTTTCATGTGTTTATTCCGGACGCACTTTTCTCTCCACCAGGACCAGGATTATGCTGTCCCTGCTCAGACCTGAGACTGGCTCTGTGGCCGGGGAACTTGATGAGACCCTCAGACTCCCATCAGCCTGGGCTCGGCTGGTGTGATGAGCCCGAGAGCCTCCCGCGTTTCCTGTGACGCAGGACAGCCGCACCGCGCACTTTGGAGAACTGCGAGAAGCGGAAAAAAAGCGCGTCCGTGACTTTGGTCTTCTGTAACCATCGTCCCTGGTGTGAACGCGTCTTTACAGTGGTGACGATCCCGACACACTGAGAGCGACTAGTGCTGTCTGTGGGAGGACAGGGACACAGTCTCCGGAGCGTCATCCCTGGCTGAGCGGCGGGGAGTCGAACGGACACCTGCAGGTGATCCGGGGCGTCAGAAACCTGCTATTTAGAGGAATTTACCGCTTCTCCGTCAGTTCAGCACAACACTTGTGCTCTGAAGAGAAAAAGTGGATTTGCATTTGGATTTAATGTTTTGGTTGATGGATGCTGATGCGGAACCGGACCGAGTCCCCGCGGAGGAATTTAGCATAAAATGTTTGTGTGATGTGAAAAACTGCTGGAGACAGAAAACATCTGTCTGACCTGTGACTCTGACAGAGGAAACATCTGCTCCTGCTGCGGAGAGAAAAGGTACCTGAACACAATTTCCTAAAATATTACAGTGTTTTTCCTTATCAATCAATGTTAAATTAAACATCTGACAGCAGATTATTATTATTATTATTATTATTATTATGATGATGATGATGATCATTAACATAAAACAGAGCTCTCACTATAATAACTCCTGGATTATTATCTTGTAAATCCACCCATAAAGTCAATCAATTAATTCATTTATCGATCAGTATGCTGTGAATAAATAATGAAGCACTCAGATTACCGCAGGGATCTCGGGTTGTGTATTTCGGCTGGTTTCAGATCATATTCATGATTTTCGGTTTCCAGCTGATTCTGCCGGAATTCAGCTTGAACTCGTGCTGATGCGCGTCGTTGTGCTCACTTGTGAGGGTCGATGTGTGCGCACGTGTGTTCGTGTGTGCGCGCGGGTGTGTTGGAGATCCTAGTGTTGCCCATGGCTTCCCAAACTTTTGAGGACCCCCACAGTAGATGCACATTTTTTCGGTTTGAAGATAATGAAAGCTTTACAGTCAATCAATGATCGAACTGAGTCAAAGAAATGAATTCCCAAAGATGAAAACCTCCATCCCTGTTGCTTTCCTTGTTGTACTTCCAAAAAATAAATAAAAATAAAAAAATCAATATAGTTAAAATATTCTTTTCAGTTCTTTTGCTCAGGACCCCCTACAATTTACTCAAGGACCCCTGTTGGTCCCCCGACCCCAGTTTTTGAAAACCACTGGTATAGTCTATATGTAATTTTTTGCTTACGTGTCTTGGTGATACGTGTGCGCATCTGTAAAGGTGGTGCGTGTGCGCAGGAGGCATTTATTATAGTGTTTGCCTGAGGATGCATTAATGTACTACATGGCAAAGTACACCTGAACATTGCAGCCATGGGTGAAAGTTGAGCATCAGATTGCCAGATGGAGACACGATAAATCACTTCAGATTACTGTTTTGCTTTGCTCCAGTTTGTTGCAGAGTGACAAAATCGGCCTAGAGAGGAGGTGGTCCACACAATGTCACACTGTAAAACAGGACGTCTGTTTGTTTCCTGTTTCAAACTGACAGATTTGAAGCATGATCACGATTTATTCCACAACTGTGACCCTGTGTTTATTTGTATTTAATTTTTTTAATTTTTTTACTGTTGTTGATGAAGCTCCCCTAGTAGTCATTTGATCTGCATTAAGTAATGTTTATAAAAATATCTTTTTGTCATATTATGTTAAAAATATCAGGTTCCCCGCCTCCTCCTAGTGCTCCTTGGGATTTGCAAGAACCCACCGCATTCAATCAGAGCCGAGAAAGATAGTGGACTGTTGAGTCTTAGTCCCAGGTCCCAACGCGTCGCTATTTGACGACGGGTCAATTTGAGGGGTTCCACCTCATGCTCATTAAGTGGCCATATTAATGAGTCATGCATCTTTTGGTTAGGGGAGGACTCACCAGGGAGTATACAGCAACAGGTTCAATAGATAAAAACTGATACTGCAGTTCCACCACAAACTTTTGACTTAGCATTTGTTTGTGTACGTATTTAACAAATTAAATACAACCTGTTATTTAGTAACACTGAATGAACCACAGTTTTGTAAGACATGCCAAACTTTATAAAGGTCCAGTGTGTAACATTTAGGAGGATCTATTGGCAGAAATGGAATATAATATTCATAGACATATTTTCATTAGTTTATAATCACCCGAAAATAAGAATCATTGTGTTTTTGTTGCCTTAGAATGAGCCGTTTTTATCTACGAGGGACAGAGGCCGCCATGTTGAACCACTATGTTTCTACAGTAGCCCAGAACGGACAAACCAAACATTGGCTCTAAATAAAGTCTTTGGGTTTCTTTTGCGAGTTTCCTGGCCACTGTCGATTCTCCTACATGTTTGGAGGGCAGAGCTGTACTCAGCTGGTTGCAATCTGCAACCTCGCCACTAGATGCCACTAAAATCCCTCACACTGGTCCTTTAAGGCATGTAAGAGAAAATGCAATCAGTGTTGAGAGACTACCTTTGAGTGATCTGCACGCCAAGAAATTTAAAACAACCCACTACCTCAACAGACACACCTTCAGTGGTGGTTAAATTGATGTTTATGCACACACTGTGAGAGAGGTTTCAGCTCCTCCATCTCACTCCTGTCGTGTCATCTGCAGACTTAATAAAATGGTTGTTCTGGTATTCATGTAAAGCAGTGGACTGGGACAGCAACTCTCTGTAGCGCATCTGTGCTCAGAATGTCTACTTGAGGGATCTCTGGTTTATTGATCATGTATTGATTGTTTGCTCCTTTGTCTGAATCTCCTACAGGTTTCTGGAAGAATGTAAAACTGGAGCTGCTGAGACCCTGAAGCACCACCTCCTTCACTGCCTCAGACAGCTATGTCCAACACAGGAACCTGTACCGCAGATAAACCTCGGGGTCAGTGTTAGTAGGTGCCGTGGTTGACCCTGCCCTGGGTGAGGGGGAACTCCATGGTCTGGCTCATCCCGTCCTCGCCACACCACTGCTACAGCCACTTGCCTGTTGATTGTGCGATCATATTACGCTCCCTTTCCCTACAGCTCAATTTACCGCAAAATGGCGGAGGGTTTGAAGTCCCCGAGCGTCACTGGGCACTGTTTCCTCTCTTTATTGATGCTTAAGAGCTGCTGGCTGCTAGGTGCCACCTCCCAGAAGCCCACCGTGTTGACGGACTCCCAGCAGCCCCAGCAGGAGTATGCCCACTCCATCCGGCTGGATGGTGACATCATCCTGGGCGGCTTGTTCCCCGTGCACGCCCGCGGCGAGAGGGGGGTTCCCTGTGGTGAGCTGAAGAAGGAGAAGGGTATCCACCGGCTGGAGGCCATGCTGTTTGCCATCGACCTCATCAACAAGGACCCAGAGTTGCTGCCCAACGTGACGCTTGGGGCACGTATCCTGGACACGTGTTCGCGTGACACCTACGCCTTGGAGCAATCACTCACCTTTGTCCAAGCACTCATTGAGAGGGATGGCTCCGACGTCCGCTGTGCTAATGGAGATCCACCTATCTTCGCCAAACCAGATAAAGTGGTGGGCGTCATTGGGGCGTCGGCCAGCTCTGTGTCGATCATGGTGGCCAACATTCTGCGCCTGTTCAAGGTAAGAGAATGCTGTCAGGTGATGTTTCTATTGTCTGAAGTTGAATTTCGTGCTTGCTGCTGGACTGCAGCTCGCTGTGACCAAACTTTGGTTTGTCGCCGTTGCCATGACAAATGACAAATGATCAGAGAAATAGCTGTTTCAGTTACCTAGCATGTGAAAATACTTTGTGTCTCAGTGATTTTCCTACTGTTAATGGGCGAGAGGAGACTACATATTTAACATCTTTAAACAGCCTATGACTGTTGAACCTGACGGTTTATCAGGACAGAAAAGCTTGTCCAGAGATAAAAAGGACAAACCTTTGCAATGTAAAGGTGGCTAGAACCTGGTAGATAACAAACACTGGAAGAGCAGGTGTGTTGGGATGAGTTGATGTGTCTGAAAGTCAAGACACATCAACTTGCACTGAAAAAGTGCAATTTATACACTCTATTAATCTGGCTGCAGTTGGAATTTTCTGTTTGATTGATAGTGTGTCTGAAGCCGCTTCAGCTTCAGTTTCGACTCTCTGAAGCCCAACAGGAAGATAATTTGATTTAGCGCTCCAATTTAGAGATTGTGATTAACGTTCCTCCTTTTCCCACTTTCTAATCTGACCATATCTTTGTTTTTATTACGACATCCTTCATTTCTCCTGCAGCAAATGTGGAGAGGAAAGGCAGCTTTAAGAAAAGACTGACAGATGTGATGTACAGGAGACTGATGTCAATATAAAGTGTTTAATCAGTGCGAGCGGACCGCTGGCTGTTTATACAGTCTGGATAAATCTTGTGTTCAGTTTTGATTGTAAGTCCCGCCCTGATTATTTCCACCTGTGTTTTGTTATCCTCCCCCTCACCTGTGTATTTATTTACTTATGTGAAGCTTTCGTCCTGTTCCTTCGAGTTTTCTCGATGTTGTTCGGACTGCTATAACTTTATGGATTTATTGGATTATATTTGGCTTGCTCATTGTGACTTGACTTCTACCTCATGGATTTAAGTAAGTTTATGTTTCACCACATTTTGCTAATTAAATGCTCTTAACTGCTCTGCTAGTCTGTCTTTGGGTCCAGATCCTCGTCTTCTACAACTGTGACACACACTGAATCACAGTTCAGTCAGGACCACTTTCGTCAAAATATCTTATATTCCAAGCAGAATTTACATTTGGCGGTATGGCTCTGTTCTGGGACCTCCTTGTCCTTCCACGTGCCTACGTGGAAAACCTTAAGGCAGGGAGAGCACACCTCCCTGCCCTTCCATGTGCCTACATGGAAAAGTTTAAGACAAGGAGAGCGGCAGCAGAGACCCCCCAGGGTACAGAACAGAGCAAGCATCAATGGCAATCAGAAAATGACATTGATTAATTAGAAACAACATAAAAAGGAGGAGCTGGGGTGGAGGTGGGTGCAAAAAGGCTTGTAGAGGAGCAGCAGAGATAGGCAGGCAGGCTAAAGCAGCTTAAATAAGGCGCCATGCATGATGTTTGCCAATTGGATGCTTGAGGAAATCAGGTGAGCTGTCAGCTGACTGTGTATGGTATCCAATGGGAAGCTTAGAGGAATCAGCTGATGTATGTTTATGACTAGCTGTGATTGTATGATATAGCTGTAACTGAAAGCTAAGCCTGACTTCGTGCCCTGCCTGAACTAACGCTATGCTCAATTCATGGTAACAAGAATTACACTAGAAGGATGTTTTCACATTTTTTACCATGCTTATTGAAAATCTGAATTTAAGGGGCCAATAATGATGCATGATTTCATTACAAGAAGTTTGGAAATCAGTCATGATCCAGTATGCAACTTAAACAAGTGTGATGTAGAAACTTGAAGCCACCAGCATCCACTGAGAATGGACTTTGCAGTGACATAGGAGACATCTTGTGTCCAGCAGGAAAACTTCAGAAATGAACAACATTTGCATATTTATAGATTGAGTAGATGCCTTTTTAAAGGATTCAATGTGGAAATGATCCTTAATTGCAGAAAAGGCATAAGCATATAAAACACAGATTATTGTTCCAAGCAGACTGTTTGTATATCTGTCTTAATACATGTCTGGAGGGGATCTTTAAATGTTGAATCTTAACTGACTGAATCTGTAGCTTTTAGCAGTGGAGCTCATCACTGGTGAACGAGAATGTCACTTCACCTTATTAAAAGACCGCAAAAGCCACAGAAACCATCATAATCTTATAACTGTTGTAAATCGTTGGCTGCTGAGCTTTTGACCTTTATAAACAGTGCATGTATAGACCTCCTTTTTATACTGAATATAACTCTCCTGCAATGGAAAGCGTCAGCTGAATGTGGCAGCAGTAGAAACAGTGATGCATTGACTTGTAGATGTTCATACTGAAGCACCTTTGAACAGTGATGAGCTCTCTTGGTGTACAAAATAAATTAACTACACCGTCAGTGATGACAAATCTTTGAATTGAACTGAACAACAAGAACTAAAGCAGCAAAGTGATCTGTGATAAATTAGTCAAACCCTACAACCCAATAATGCTGAATATATTTGGAACCTGGCCTGATATGATCGGTCCTGGGTCTTGGTGAAGACCCCTGTTTTTTTGTAAGTCACTGAGGAAGTCGGCCTTCTGTTTTGTATTTGATCGTATTTTAGTAAAGATCCTCCCTGTATTTTGATCTGCTTCAGTTTTCATTTGCTGTTGATGGAAGCTCAACACTTCCATGTTTACCTAGTTTCCTCTCTGGACAGTCTGCATTGTTTTAGTTAAGAGCCCTGTAAGGGCTGAGACAGACCTGCCTGGCAGCCATAAAACTAATGTCACTTAGTGGTGGTTCTTCATTAGCATTATCCTCCCTCTGAGCTGGATGCAGCATAGACTTTCAAATGGCTGTTTCTTGCGGTGCGTTGACATAAAAGGTTGACCCAGCTGTTGCCTCGCCTTCTCCTGCGCGTGCAGACAAACTGTATCTTGAGGCGGTGTGTTGCTGTGCACAGCAGCAAACAAATTCCACTGCGTTAAATTAGTGATGAGCTGTATGATTCATGTGTATGTGCTAGAGCCTGGCCAGCTTAATGAGGACAGAAAGGCCCAACAACATCACTTATCTAAAATTAGCTGGAGATGCCTCTGGGAAGGAGGAGTGGCGGTGGGGTAGCCAGATTTTGCTGATGCAGAGATTTCCTCACCCTGCTGCTGCTGCTCACCAGCGCTGTCACAGCCTTCAGCTGCTGTTGGGAGAAAATTGACTGACTGTGGGAGTTGGTTTTTAGTCTGTAACATGTTCTCAGCTAGGGTAACATAATACAAACACCTCACTGAGTAAACTCCGTAAGCCCTGTTTTTATGCCTGCATCATTTCCACAAATTTAAATATTCTAGCTGCAGGCATTCAAACTCAAGTGGGCTGAAAAAGATAACTGTTCCCAAACTGAACCAGACTATGGGGTTTGCTGTCCTCTCTGGTACCATGTCAGTTTTACCTCTGACCACAGCTGGCACCATGTGTGTGTGTTCGAGTGTGGTACGAAGTGTGTTTGTTGCACCCGTAACCACACCCAACAGTGATGTCCTGCAGTACGCCTGTGCATCAGTTTAACCACTTAGGGTCAGCAAAGATAGGATTTACAGTGGTTGTTAAGTTACGCTTTAAAGTTCCAGTATGTAACATTCAGGAGGATCTATTGGCATAATAGGGAATATAATATGAATAACTGTTTCCATTAGAGTATCATCATAAGAACTGCTGAGTTTTTATTAGCTTAGAATGAGCCAATGAAAATAAAAAATACGCTGCAGCAGGTACAGGTTTAGAGAAGTGACTACACTGACCAGAACAGCTCAGGAGTTTTGAATAGTTTAGGGACTTTTTTCCCCTTTTTTCCCCCTCAAGAGTTGGAGAAAAAGAAACCAAATGGAGACAGATTAGACCCGTACCTGGTTTGTTTGCAGTGCATTGGGAGAAATTTTATCCTAAGCATGTGCAGGTTCAAAAAATGTTTTAAGAATTATTTTAACAGACAAAATTGCTGCTTTATCTGTATATTTGTTTCAAAAAACACATTGCCGTATTTTGATCCATTCATAGCTTTTAGAGAAATGTGCTTTGAAAGTGGATATTTCCGACGTGGATCTCCCCTTTCCACTGAATGCCTGCTGTTCATAATGCATTAAACAGTTAAAAAGTAACTAATACTAATAGTTTGAGTAGTTTTTGAGAAGAATACTCTGTACATTTACTTAAGTATTTTAACACCAATAGTTTTACTTATAGTGGAGTACTATTTCAGTTTTGTAACTACTACTACTGTTCTACTAGAGTACAGGTTTTCAGTACTCTTTCTACCACTGGATTTGTATGATCATACTGAATTAACTCACAGGTGCTCAGCATGAGCACAGGATTCATCAGGTTTACATTGGGGTGAGAGTGAAACGGGATTTTCACACAGTTGCACTTGTGATTTAGTTGATATGAACTAATGAGCTACTGTACTGTCTAATGCTGGTTTCGGAAGTAGCACTACAGGTTGCAAGAACACTAGATATATTAACCCCCATCCCGCCCCCCAAAAAACATACACCCACATAAAACACACATCTTTTGAATGAATTTGCTATATTTTCTGAATTTGATACAGTTATTCCCTGGTATTTATCGTTGCTCCCAAAAGGCAAAACCACAAGTGGCTTTGACACTGATGGCATGGAAAGGAAACTCACAGCAGGCCTTTTCTGAAGATTTGTTCATATTTCAACAATTTAAACAATTTTACTGTTGGGATCTCTCGTTGTTTATTACAGTGACACCTCGCTGAAATAAACACTGCCCACTCTCACGTCAAAACAGAGTGATGCATTTTTCTGAAAAGAGAACCTTCAGGGAAAAACATCTCTCAGCAGAGGCCATTTATTTAATGAGGTAATGGTTAAAAATGTCATCTAAGGGCTGTTTCACTAACCCTTGATAGTGGATTAAGCCGGGATTTTCCAGTTATCCTGGCTGAGTTTAGCTGTGACTCGGTTTCACCTGCTGCTCC